TTAGGAAAACACGTGAAATGAGTAAAGTAAATTGTACTTAAGAATTATTTTTTAATTATCCTTTTTGTCTAGCTTATGCATATGTGCATATATGTTTGGCACAGTTGATGTGATGTCTTGCGGGACTTTATCAACTAAATAAATGTAGATGTAGATGTTTTTATTTTGTTAATTACTTATTTATATGCTACAGTAAACATTAAAAAATAAATAAACAAATAGATTTAAAAAATGACAGTGGTGCACCCCCCCGAAAAAAAAACAACACAGGATTCGTATTACTTCTACTCAAACTCTGCAGAAATGACTCACTTTACCTAAAAATAACCCCGGGGGGTACTCCCATAAAAATAGGGTGGGGGCGTGTCCACTTCCCAAAACCCTTACCCTATTTATGACCAAAATCTGCGATTTTTCCTACCCTATTTATGACCTGACCAAAAATTTGATACCCTATTTATGACCGTTGGGGCCTTATACGCAACAGAGCGCGAAGAAGATACGTGAGGTGAGGTGATTTATGGCCGTTGCGGCTGGCACAGTTGCCCTAAACATAATTTATGAAGGTAGTAGCTTCCTCCAAAAAACATACCCATGTCAAGACTACAGTGCAAAAACCATACCCTATTTATGACCAACACGGCTGAGAAACCATACTCTTTGGGGCTACACACACCTATATAGCCCATATAAGGGAGTACCCCCTCCCCCCGGGGAAATAACCCTCGTGAACTTACAGACCAAAATATACCTCAGCACAGTTACGACGTTAAAACGCCATACATAATAACAGAATACCCAAATTATCTTTGGATACAACAGTAGCTACCAGCTATGGCTGACCCCGAAATTAATCAATCAACAATTAGCAAATGGTGGTCACCCTACCAGTGGTTTAGCTCTATAGTTATTTATGGTGATCAGATACTAAATCTTTAATATATGTATTATATTTAATCCTGCAAATTCAGTACAAAAACGGTGTAGTCTTGTCTTGTGTTGTCTTTGAAACACTAGCACGCACAAGGTCAATATCTACTTTTCACACTTGACTGCCTTACGACCACATTGTTTCACTCAGAGACCGTACAGTATACTTGTGGAATTCAGAAGGCTCACTCATAGGATTCATTGTCAATTTCTTGTCTTTAATTGCTACTCTGTTGAAATCTATTTTACGAGGCTTTCGCGCCCTCTGTTTTGCAAGCAATATCATATACACGTGGCATATGCATGGCGAGAGAATATTCAGAAGAACATCTCGTGTTGGCGTGGTGCCAGCATTATTGCACTTCAATTTTACAAATTGCTGCTCTAAGTGCGTTGTTCTCGGTTATGTTGTAGCAATAATTTGTAGCGCATTTGCTAGACTTTCTGAGAAGTCCTTCGTCTTGAAATTCATGAGGTCGACTTGTGGCAAGTCTACGCATTTGCAAGTGTTTAGATATGAAGTTTTATTCCCTAAGGGGAGATTAATAAAACACGTTTTCTTTTCATATGCTTCGGTGCGATATTATGTAACTGCCCATGGCCAATGCAACAATTGCTTCCAATGTTTAAGTAAAGAGTTGTCTACATTAGTTACACATTTTTTCAATACAAAAAGTGAAGATTCTTTTTTTAACTCGTATATTTGACCACGTCTGCACTGAGTCTGCACTTTGATCTCCAGTTGATTCAAACAGAAAAATATGAATTCCTCTGTAGTTTATGATTCAAACTTCTTTCTAATCCCAAATATGCATGTTGAATCCGGAAACATACTCTAACCCCCAGGGAGCCCTTGCTCGAACATTCTGGCCGAGTTAGAGAGCTGCATGGCTTCCTAAATCACGTAAGTCTCACCTATCATACTCCATTCCTTCTTTGAAGCACTTTATGTCGCGAACACGAATTCCTTTGCAGGACTTAACAGGATAAACGAAAAGCCCAGAAACGCGCCCCACCTCCTTGAAAGACTTTCTTCTCTGTTTTTCTCGCAACCATAGTACAGCACAACTCGCCAAGACAGCGACAGGTACACCAATTAAGAGATATTTTGAGTATTCCGCCATCCTTTGCAGACTTCACCAAGCGCAGACTCGATCGGCCCTCAAAAGCAGGGTCGAGCAGGTCATATGGGAGGGGCGTGATCAGAGAATTGAAATACCCAAGTCACTCGTCAAGCTATTGGAATGGAAGATAAACATCCTTTGGAGTTTATTTGGACGGTTTAACGTTTCGAAAACTGAACAGATAAGTCTGTCTAAATACTACTGTGTTTGGGTAGCTGTATCACAGCCCGGTAACTCTGAAATTAGATTGGTTCAGATGGTAAATATTAGGGATACACAATGGTGAATGCAATTTAGCGTCACGCAGTGCAATGTGATATTAGAAGTTGTAATTGCCCCCGCAGAAAATACTTTTTGCGTCTTTTCTAACGTGATGTGGTAAACTGCTCTGCTGTAAATGCTTCGTGAGAGTATTATGTAAAGAATATCATGTGCTAGAATGAGTTAAACAGAATGTGTTGGTTTAGTTGACTTAGTTGATTGTTTGGATCATATTCATGGTAAGATGCCTAAGTTACTGGAACACCGGTATGAGTGATATAGCTTACACACAAATAATAAAATTTTTAGTTCATACAAAAATGTTCAATATTACTGTTTTCAATCAGCAGAAATAACAGAGAGCGGGGACAGATTTAGTGATAACTATTACTAGTAATAATAATAATATGCACGAGCTCTTGATTACTGAACCGTGCAACAACCGCCGTTGTTTCAAAGTAAGGGACTGGGAATGAGTTTGCAAATTTGGTCCTTTCGTTACGCAAACGCGTCACGCAACGCTTAGTTTACAGAACACAGAGAAGCGGGGTTAGAGAGTTGAGAGACGACTTTGCAGACGATTCAACTGACAATTCACTCAAATGGGAACATCTCATTCACGAATATGGACAATTACTATTCCTCTTTCTTTGCCTTTACTTGCATTTGCGTACTACAGATGGAGACAGAGGCAACTGAGAAAGATTGAGCATTACGAACAAATCGGCCAAGTAACAGGCTTATTTATTTACCCGGTCAAGTCTTGTGCGGGAATTTCGCTTGAAACTGCGGACTGTTTAACAGAAGGATTACAGTTTGACAGGTCTGTTTATTTGTTTGTTTATTTGTTTGTTTGTAGGAATGTTATAGACTTAACATTATTATGCAAAAGACCGCTTTTACGCATGTAAGCCTATATCGGCTTGGCCCAGAGTATTCAACAAATTAAACACGCATACAAGGTCATACAAACTACATAACCATTAAGCTTATGCCATAAGCATTGCCTCGGAGACCTTGAAATTTGGAAAATCGTGAATTAGGTCTGCTGATAACCGAGGTGAGCCTATGATCTACCTCATTTTTGCGAGCTCTGATAACGTGTTCTGCATGGTAGAAATGAAAGTTTAGTAGTACAAGAGGCTTCAAACCCGCGCGGTTAAAATAGCTCCATGAAACTCTAGTGTGTCGAATATATGCTTTATCTTTTGTATTAGGCCCTTTTTACTGTCTAATATTGTGTTTTTCTTTTAGAGACTTACAGAAAGAACACCTTGCCTAGACTAGATTTTTGCCAAGCATAAATATGTTCCATGCAGCTTGAAAGTTCCCAAACCTCCAACCCTTCCTTCCCCCCAGCCCTTATCCTACCATCCTCTCCCAGTGCAACTTCCTTCCCTCAACCTCTCTCCCTGTTTTTCTGATCTCATGGGTAAGACAGATGACCCCTAAGGATTGTGGGCTTACCACTACCCTCCCTCTCCCTCTAATTAGCCTTTAACAGCCACTATCCTCCCACAGGGAACTCTGCCATATGGGTCTCCTTAGCATAGGAACTAAAAAAATCCATGAGCAGAACACTAACTGTGCTTGGACCATGCCACTCTGTTCAAAAAGAAAAATCTTGCAATTATCATGATTCAATTCAAAGTGGTACAGGGACTTGGCAGGAGAGTAGGTAGCTTGTGTTTGTTTCATAGGATGATAGGGAGGGTGGGGTTGGGCAAGAGTGTTTTCAGTGGACTCTTCTCTTATACACTTCCCTTACAGTGGCCATAGAAAAATTTAATTTTAATCAGCCAGGCTCCCAGCAGGGGGAGAACTTGCATATAAAAGGGATGGGGGTGCTCATCGTACTTGTAGGGGTTAAAAAAGCGGTTTTGGTAACTCTCAGTGTGTTCAGCCTTAAAAGGTCCACAGTGGGAGCTTTTGCGGTACCTTTTAATGTATTGAACTGAAAAAAATATAACAGGAGATAAAGTGCTATGTAAGAATCAGTACCTCTTTGGGGAGAAAAAAATTCAAACCACGCCCATAAAACAGGATTTTGTTATCTCTTAGGGGTTCTTTTAAAATTTTCAACAAGCACCCTGTCCTTTTTATACGGAAGTCCCCCCCACCCCTGGGCTGGGCCCGGCTTACTCTTGAAAGTAATGTTCTGTTGTGAGTAAATTGCAAAAGATTTCCCACTTTCTGCCCTCTTCTGTCCCACCTTCCACTCCCCCATACACCCCCCCCCCCCCCCCCCCCCCCCCCCCCCCCCCCCCCCCCCCCCCCCCCCCCCCCCCCCCCCCCCCCCCCNGTCGCACTTGGTAATACTCCTGGTCAGTTGGGCTTTACTGCACCCCCCTCCCCACCCCACCCCACCCCACTGCACCCAATGCCATCCCAAGGTTCCCATTCCCTCTTTACTGAAAGTTAGTTGCCAAAGAATTGCATGGCCTCTCCATAGCTAATGTAGCGTATTTCTTCATTTCTCTCCACAAGGTACTGGGTTGTGGTAGACAGAGATGACAAATTCATCAACTCTGTTGAGAAGCCTGTACTATCTCGAGTTATTCCACATTTTGAGGATGACATGCTTTGCCTTAATGCTCCTGGCATGGCTGACACCCTAAGAGTCCCATTATACCTCAACACTCAGGAATATAAAGTCCTCAGGTAAGAGAAAAACAGACATATGACTGAATGACAGGATTGGAGGTCAAATGCATTAATAAAAAATGATTGCACTCCATTGAAATAATTTATTATGTCATATATTAAGGTTAATAAATAAATATTTATTGGCAGATATTTCAAATAGTTTATTTATATTATCAATGGTGTGATCTCATAGGGTGCTTAGGATTTCATCCAAAAGTCAGTATGCAGGAGATGAGGCAGCTGCTTGGTTTTCAACTTTACTGGACAAACCAGGTTGCAAATTGTACCAGCTTAATGAGCCACGTGATTCCACACAGGATACAAAGTGGGGAGATTTAGCTCAACCAGGAGACAGGGTATTAATACATGTTCATAACATTGTACAATCGCAAACTTAATTTAATGAGGGAATCTCTCTATTAATCATAGTATCTTTGTTTGCTCTTCCTTTGACAACTTGGCATTCAAAGGAATTGTTCGAATCCACCTACCTTTGGTTATGTCACATTTAGACATTTTATCCACCCTAAGTTACTAATTATTAGCCACTTCTTTACTGTACATTATATTACATTATACTGTCAGTAGCAACGCCAATCATCCCACAGCTGCTCACCTGTGTGCTCAACCTGGGACCCAGCTCAACGTGGAGTTGTCATCGAGGCTCCTTAGAGATGCAAGATGGGGGGGGGGAGGGGGTAGAAAACAGACCACTTCTCTTCTGGGGTCCCAGCCACAGTCTGTGCCTGAGCCCACCTTATTAATCCACAGAGAGCAGCAGTCTGCAGAAACTGAATTGAACGCAGTGTCAGTAGTCAAAATAATCAAGCAAGAAAGCTTTAAATGTGCAATTTTCTTGATCGATCCATGGCAGTTTAAAACAAATGATTTATAATTTAATGACTTATGCATTTAATGCCATAATTTTATTGATTTCATCCAGGTGGGATATGCAAGCTTTGCTGCATATCACATGACCACAGAGTCATCATTAGTGGCAGTGAATAACATTCTCCCAACCCCAGTTGGTATGGACAGGTTTCGTGCTAATGTTATTATAGGAGGCACAGAACCTTTTGCAGAGGTTTGTTTTTAATCTGTTTAATTACTCCTTAAGGCTTCAGATTGAAATATGCACACAATATATAATTATGCAGATAACGGGCCACAACCATTAGCATTTAGGCTAGTTACACTGTGTGTGACGTGCAGTGGCCTCATGGTTAGTGAGCTTGACTCCGGAGCGAACGGTCCGGGTTCAAGCCCTGCCCAGAGACATAATGTGTTGTGTTCTTGGGCAAGACACTTTACTCTCACAGTGCCTCTCTCCACCCAGGTGTATAAATGGGTACCTGCAAATTTAACACTGGGGGGTAACCCTGCGATGGACTAGCATCCCATCCAGGGGGGAGTAGAAATACTCTTAGTCGATTCAGGCTACTGAAACTGGGATAAGCTCCAGCCTGATGAGCCACTTGGCTCGTATGCAGACTTTACCTAATACCTTACCTTACCATAAAATTATGCAGATACATGCATGTAAAGGGCCACAGCCATTAGCATTTAGGCTACTTAGAGCTCTGCATGCAAATTATTTGTAAAGTTTCCAACATACAGAAACCATTAAAAACTATCTTTATTTTCTTATCATGACACAGGATGCGGTGTTACAGGGCGTGTATATAAACACGAAATGGCAAATTGTCAAAATGGCACTACAGTAAGCTTAATATCACTGACTTGACTGAAGTTAGCTCTCAATTATAACTGTAAGGTTTAACCCTTAGATACACCCATATCCCACATTGACTGTTATCATCATTTTTGCCATTTTGTGTTTTCATGCTCAGCCCAACTCACCATGAATCTCACTGTAGCTCAGTGGTTGCAGAATCTGACTGGTGAACATATTAAATGTCATGGGTTCAAATCCCATCGGCAACTCAGATTTTTGAAGTCCCACATTTGCGAAATAAATATGAAGAACCTTTCATTTTTTTCTACACCTAAATTTACCATGTCTAATTATTTATCAACACTGTGAAGTAGTTTTTATGTTATTAAATTTACTAAGTATAATATTTAGATTTTTGACATATGTACCATATTTATTAAAAGAATTAGTGCATTGGTTCTCTATAAATGATTCCATCAAAGGATAACTGGTCTCAGAAAATACTGAAGATTGCAGATGTGAGGTTCAGAACACTTAAAGATTGTGGAAGGTACCATTGACTTATCAAATGATTATAATTGTAAATATTGATTAAAAATTATAGTGATCTCAGTCACTATAATTTATATGGCCAGTGCAATCTGAAAATTAGTTTATAAAATAATTAATAGCGATGTACATGTAGGCAAGCATTAGGCTATTTGAGAACTTCCAGCTCAATATGATGCAAAAGTTCCTGCTTCATCTTCAGGTCCCATATAAGTGTGTTTCTGATTTATTTGAATAGGCCTAAGAATGGGAAAGGGTCAGCATGGGGCTTCAGATCATTAGGAGGAAAAATTAGGCAATATTCATCTTCTTACTCAGAAACTGGAAGTCACTTAGTAAAGTTTCAATGAACAGCCTAAATAATCATTCTTTCTTTTTTTCTCAAGGTGTGTTCAAACCACTATAGATCCGGAAACAGGGATTAAGAATGGATTGGAACCATTGACAACTTTAAGAAGGTACATTTTTTTACACAGATTTTGTTTGGCAGTACTTACTTTGACCAATTGCATAAAAATGTAATGACACTAAATTGCAAATTTACACACTGGAAAACCTTTAAGACTTGCATTGATGAGAGAAATTGTTATTAAATTTACCTGGAAACATAAGCATGGGGGTTTAACCTTAGTTTGTATATTTGTTATTCAAATTTGTTGTCACTTACATGCATGTGCAATATTGGTGTATTGGTGTATATGACTTCTCAAGTGCATGTAATTGCAATTGGGCCACATTCGATACATCAATATTCTAACATGGATCCAAGGCTTTTGGCTCAAAATTGCAATTTTTTAAAGTTTCATTTGTCTCACAATTCTCAAAAGAGACTTGGAAACAAAGAAAACACCGAATTTACTACAGGTTTGTCCTGAAAGCCTCATAGCCATGTCAGAATATTGATATATCAAACATGGCCTATTGGTCTACTGGTGTAATGACTTCTCAAGTAAGACTTGTCAAGTTACAGTAAATTGTTATCAATAATTACACACTCTATAAAGTATTCTTCCCATCAGAAAGTTGTCAACTACATAAAAGCACTCACTAAGATGCACAATGTACTTGCTGTAGTTTGTGATTCTTGTTCACTGCTTGATTTCATAACTAGGACAAGACTGCCTCCAGACAGAGATCCAAGGCATGGCAATGCTCCATTCTTTGGGATACAAATGGCTCCGGACTGTGAAGGAATCATCAAGCTTGGAGATCCTGTGTTCATTTCGTGCTGATTACCATCTGTCTGAGGAGTATCACAAGTCATTCCACCTTACTGCCAACAATAATTCTTAATTAAAAAATATTTTGTATTAATATCAATGTGCAGTTCAAGAAATATCCATACTCTGCGCCCCCCCCCCCCCCCCCCCCCCCCCCCCCCCCCCCCCCCCCCCCCCCCCCCCCCCCCACCACCTNNNCCCCCCCAACCACTGAAAGGATTGAAATTTCCTGGGCATGGGGTTGGGGTTCTGTAAGACCAAAAAAATTATAAGAATGTATGAAGGTTAATTGGAATTTCCAGAGAGGGGTTGGGGGGGAGGGGGTCTTAGAAAAAAAAATTCACTTCTGTGGGGGAGGTATAGCTATTTTCTGGAAAGTTCTACACAATGTAGATCTGGATAGTATTTCATTGTTCCAATTTTTATGGACAGTAATTGTGTAATTCTTTATATTGATAAGAAATTATTCGCATTCTCATTACTTCAATCTCTGGTGTTGGTCCACCAGTATGTGTTGTTCATATGGGATGAATTAAGAATTCAAATCAATTTAAATATCCAATTATTTTTAATTCTGCAAAATTTACCGAGTCAGCTTCAGTGTTTTGTAATAATAAATCAATTTTCAAATTCAGGTACAACACAATATTATCAACAATATTTAAAAACTTTTGTTATTACAGTCCAACCCTTTGAAGTGGCCACCTATTAAACGGCCACCCCCATTAGGTGGCCAGTAATCAAAGTCTTGACAAGCGCTTTTCTATTGTTTTTACCTCTATTAAGCGGCCAACCCCTTTTTAAGTGGCCACTATCCATTTCTCTGAGGGTGGCTGTTTAATAGGGGTTGACCTGTAGTTATTATACAATAAACTGGCATGTATTTTTTATACAAGTTATAATACTATCCACAGACCACCAGCTATTTAACTCTTGTAAGTCAATTTATAATTTATTTCGGGATTTGCTGCAAGAAGACTTTTTTCTTCACATGCAGATTGTCTGTAAAATGAGCAAATTATTCTAAAATAGCATAGACAAGGTTATCAGTAAAGCAAAGTAGTTAAACACTGAAGAAATGGCGGAGGAAGTTAATTACAATATAAGTAAGTCAATGCAATTTAAGAAAATCAGTCTGACAAAAGTAATTACAAGGACTTCAGCCAGATTTGAACCCACAAGTACCCCCTTTTTACTGCCCCAAGTACCAGGCCTTCCTAAGGGGAGAGGAGGTTGGGGGAGGAGAGAAGCAGAGGTCCTTTTCTTCTCTTTTACATTTGTACGTTCTTTTTTTTTTTCCCCTCCCCCTTCTGCCCTACCTTCAAAAAGCCTGATACCCGAGCTAACATTTACTGGTGTAATGCATTACTGAGCTCATAAGCCACACCTTTTGAGCAAGGTCAGACACATAACATAACATACTACTCACAACACATACTATCCAGAGTTCACGTGTGTTCTCTTAAGTCATATTTATTACTTATCATTATTTAGTAATTATTTATTGAAGTCGAAGTGAATACCAGTCACTCACTCACTCACTCATTTTAAAATAAAGGAACTGTTCTCTGAAAATCAAAAGTATGGTACATAGAATTTGCTGTCAAAAAGTGCCTAATTGAGTTTTACAAACATGTGGAAATTTGGTATCGAATGAGGAATGCTAAGGGAACACAATTCAAAGGCAATTATCAGTTCAATGTTTCTATGACTTGAGAGAAACTAAGAAAAATGTTTTCTATTTCTTGTAGAGTACACTGAGAGGAAAAGAAATGAAATTCACTCATTGCGATTTTTTTTTAATTCTCTTTGCTTGCGACATCATTAGGTCAACACCTCAGACTAGTTCTATATCTACATCGTGATATGGAAATGTGGGGCTTAGCTCTTCTTTTCTCCACTGAAATACTTCAGAGAGTTTCTGATTTGCATCACCAGATCAAAACTTGACACAAGCACAGACAATTATGTAGTGCTTTGACTTTGTCAACAGTCATGCCACCAACTAAGGCAACAAACCACTAAGGCTCAACCAAGTTTTGGGGATGAGATATTTGCTAGGCACCCCACTGTATCTACAAAGTTGCAACAGTGAACATTGCTACTAACAGTAGTATTTATTAATTTTCTATGAGGTTCTGAGAATGTTAGGTGGTCAGAATGTAAACATATCAAGTTAATTTAATTTGATTCCCTCAGGATTCGCTTCGTCACAATGGTCATTTCCCTGCCGTGACTGCTTGTTTCTCATCTCCTCCTTGTCTGTATGCAAAAGTTACATGTACCTACAATAACTATACAGCCAATGCTATTTTGTAAAGTTCCCAAGATCTTGGCATCAATGATAGAAGTGGTTGTAGGAAAGTCCAACCAATTAAGTAACGTCACACATGTTGCTGAAGTTAGTTCAGAACACATAACTAGGGGTTTCATACCCCAAACCCAGTGACAAGTTCATCAGAGCCAGCACGATTCATAAAAATGTCACAAAACATCTGAAAGAGCTGGCATGATAGTCAAGTTTGTAATGGTTCAGCATCAAATTTCCAGAGCTACTCAATGAGCTTCTTGGCAATGAAGAATCGTCGCAGGTAAAACAGTTGCCATGTGGCCAGACCAAACAAACACAGAATAGAGAAAACACTGAAATACAGCACACGGGAGTATGTGGATTCTGCAAAACAAAGAAAATGAGCAGATCCGAATTACTACATGTAAAACAAAATGGTATTATATTTCACACAATATCTTAATGTTCATTACATGACACACAACAGGCCAGGTTTGATATACATGTATCAATATTGTAACATGGATCTGAGGCTTTCCTCACCATTTGTGTCCCTCATTTCCTGCTCTCTTTGTCTCATGTAAGCAAAGTCATTAACAACTGCATCTGCTAAATCTTCTAGCCTCTTCAATTCAACTTCCATTGGTTTGAGCTTTTCAGCTTTTGCTAACTGCAATTGAGGCACAAGAATCAGTCACAAGCAAACAAATGGTGCAGTTACAAGCAAACAAAGGGTGCCCTGCTATCATTTTTGTCAATTAGGTTTTGATTTACTTGTATAACTACATGTAAGAACATTGTTGTGGAGAAAACTAACAAATTTCAAATCAAGATATACATGTAATATTAAGAACAACAACCTAAAAATGGGATCTTCATGCCAAACAATGTACAAGTACTGTATATCAAGTGATCTCAATCTGGGCAACCTGGGTTTGCAGTTCAAACAGCTGGTAAGTTACAAATAACACTGTTACCCCAACAGTAACTTACATCTTCATAGTTCTTTGCTTCTACACCATGTTTGACATTCAAGAACACTTCACGGTCAACTCCTCCTCCAGCTTGCCCTACAATGCATCAACAGAAAATGAGTTCTTTGATGGTCAAGTACACTCTCGAGTATAGAAACCCAGACAGACATTCCTGAGTGTAAAAAGAACCAAAATGTAGAGATGTCTGTTTATACATGTAACTGTGTACTTATACTACTCTGTAGACAGGGAATTAAACATAGAGGCTACACTGGGAAACCTATCCCTACACTGTAAATGTCATGTACAGTGTGCATTGGCAAGTGTCAAATCCTTACAATGTAGTTATCCTTCAAACAGTATAGATCATTTTCACGTGACGTCATCACTTTCTAAAATCCAAAACTAAAGAGCCACCAAAGTTTTTATCCTTATCAGGCATAAGAAGCGGTATATTTATATCTGTTTACAATTTTACAGCTCAATAGAGTGCTTCATTTGGAATCCAGAGAATTTTGAATTTCAGGGTTATGGAGGTGTGTGACACAAGGCTAAGATCGAGTTTGTCGAAAAATGTATACTTATCTCATGATTTTGAACCTTTTCAGAAGTTAGAGCATTATGAAAAGTGCTTATGTAAATGCTTGTTTGATCAGTACTGATAATCAGTTGCCTAGATAGCCAAACTAAGTTCCAGATGTTTACACTACTTTCCGGCCGCCATATTGGTGTACAACGGAGGTACACCAACATGGCATTTTCATACTGGGCTCTGTAAATATCTGCGAAACATTTTGACGAATATCTGAAGTTTGGGGAAACGCACAGCCCTAAAACTTGGAGAAAAGTCTTATTTAGTTATCTTCTATAACATCATAACTTCACAGCTTTTTCCACTGGATGGTTTTCGATTTTTTTTAATTGCGTGACAGTGAAAATGATCTATACTAAGTTACTTACAGAACTGAAACCTAAAGCTTGGATGCAAATGCTTAATATACATGTACAGCTGTAGCATATGCAGCTTCCTCTCTAAATGTTGTAATTTATTTCATTTTATTCAAATGATATCATAGTACCAACATAGCCCATTGCCACATTTGGTAAAATTCAACTTGATTGCTAGCCAAAGATTTTCTCCTCTAGCCTTCAAACTTTGTAAGAAGCCATTCATCTAAAAATGGCACAACTTCACAGTAATTTATTGTGCATACAGATTTACATCCCATCATATTTGAGAGTGCTGCTCTTGTAATTGGGTAATATGAGAAAAATTGTAAGCAGCTTCATATGTAGATCTGGGGTTTCCAACAAGACCACTGTACAATTATGAGTTTGCGGGGGGGCATTCCACTATAAATTCCCTTCCTCCCTGTTGATGAGATTTTCTGAAGTGTCATACTGAGGGGGTTATTGCTCTTTCAGCACTGCTTCATCTTTATTGTATATTTCTGGGGAAATCTACAGGAAAAAAAGACTTTTTCTTGAAGAGGTAAAGAAAACTTGGTTATTTATGTGGAGGACATTATGTCAGCAATTTGATCCTTTTTCCAAGGAAGAAGAATTTTGACTTATCTTGCAATGCGGGAAAGGGGGTTGTGGACATAGTATGGAATACCCCCGTTTCAGCATTGTAACTTATTTTTACCACTGATTACCTTCACTCTCTACACAGACTTTGTACATGTCATAGTCATCAGTTGTGAAAGCAAATTTCCCCTTGGTTGCTTCTTCTTTCTTGTACAAGACATGCCCGGTAGAATCAGTTACCTAAAAAAGGGGATTACCACGCGCATAAGCTAAATGCACAGGAAGCCAGATAACAAAGTTCATGCGAAAATTTAATCAACTTGTGCACCATCATCGATTGAAAAAAAGCCGCATTAACATGAAATAAGTGCGCTTTTTCGAAAAATACTCACCGTTAAGTGCGTTTTCTGATGGGGAGCTTCTGATAATCTGTATTCACCAGTGACTAAAACATCTTTATGAACTTCTTCTCTCAGACACTTCTCTTGACCGGGTGGTAAAGTGAACGAAAGAGTGCTAACTAGGGCAAAATAATTCAATAAGACTACAGATAAGACTACGAGGAGTGAAGACGCTTTCATTTCGAAATGTAAAGCGTTTAAAGACTAGATAAATGTGTCGTTTTCTGGCATCAATACGGCTTTCAAGATGGCTGGCGACGTGGCATAAGGAGAGAGAAAGAAGATCCGGGAATTCTTCCTTTTGCAACAATCCGCTGACTAAGCGCGGGCGATTGCCCGAAACAGGCTTGGTAGCCAAGCTAAACATTGGTACAAGGGAAGAAACAGAGAGGAAGAGAGAGAAGATTTAGGGTTGAACATTTCTGCGCTTTTCTCAATATGTCTGGCGGAGGAAAAGACAGGCTGAACATATTCCCTTCACGAATGTAAGGCAAACAATCTAGTTAAAGTAGTAAGAGTTTTTATGATGGAAATATCAATGAAAATGGGTTATATTTCATTGTTTGCTAGGGCCTTAACGTTGATGAAGGCTCGTCTGAAGGGAGCACAGAAAGGTCACAGTCTTCTGAAAAAGAAATCCGACGCATTGACGATGCGCTTCAGGAAAATCCTTAAACAGATCATAGAAGTAAGCGTGAAGAGTGGGAGGTAGATGTCACGAAATGTTAATTTTAAATATCAATTTTTTAACTTTCCGTTTTGTTTTTGCATCAAAAGACCAAAACTTTGATGGGTGATGTAATGAGAGAAGCAACTTTCTCTTTAGCTGAGGCAAACTTTGCTGCTGGGGATTTCAGGTAATAATTTAGATAAGTAATTAGATTACTGCAGTTTCATCGGCCTTATGGCTGCCTTTTTTATATGTAACACCTGCACGATGGAATAAAGGATGGATTGATTGACTAACTGACTGACTAAACTAATTGGCTGATTGTTTGATTGACTGACTGACTGACTGACTGACTGACTGACTGACTGATGGCATGATTGATTGATTGACTGATCGATATTTGTTTGACTGACTGACTGACTGACTGACTGACTGACTGACTGACTGACTGGCTGGCTGACTGGCTGACTGACTAAATGACTGACTGACAGACAGACAGAGTAACTGCTGACTGACTGACTGAGTCAGACTTACTGACTGAGAGACTGACAGGCTGACCGACAGACTGATTGACTGACTGACTCACAGACTGACTAATGGAATGATTGATTGATTGACTGATCGATATATCCCTGACTTACTGTTGGATTGACTGATTGATTAACCTTTACAGTGGTTAGAATTTTGTCAAAATCTGAGATTTAAATGAATTTTGATGTGCACAATGAGTCTACTGGTCTTGAGTTACAGTAATGAGAAAACTGAATGAATCCAGTTCGCAATAACTTATACAACAGTGCAGATATTCCTAGGGCAATCTTTTACGAGTTTATTGAACTTTATCATAATATTGTACTTGTATGACGTTTTTGTGACAATTCAACATTGTACATAAAACCCTCTACATTTTCAGCTATGTTGTTCTGGAGAATGTTGACAAGGCACAAACAAAGATTCGTCTCAGGAAAGACAATGTTGCTGGTAGAGTATGACAGTAACTTTAAAATAGGACAATACTTAATAGATATCTTAATAGATACATTTATTTGACTTAAAAAAGTATGTAAAATTTGTAACATGGTGTAAGTGGTACAGATGTTACATGTACATGTATATAACTGACTGTATTATTATTCATGTAACCTACAGCAATTACATGTGCATGTATTATTGACACACTCAAGAGCTGCTCTAAGTTATTTTGTGTGTGTGTGTCCCCAAGTTGCCATTTCATCCCATATAAAAATAATTTCTAAGTCTTGACATTTTTTTCAGATTTGCAGTCTCAAATCTTTTCTTATTTTAGTTCTTGTTATTTCATATATATTTTACATGTACGTTGCACTTGTCCAAGAGTTTGTGGAATTATTGCTGGTATTGCTGTCATGTTTGGTAACAGCATGATATAAATTACTCCTTTGGTTCCATTTAAGGTGTTCAGTTACCAATATTTGAAGCATATGCTGATGGGACCAACAGTAAGTTTTATGCATTGAGGAACTATTGTTATATAATTTTTGTGGTTTTATGGACTTATAATTTGTAATTTGTTAACCCTGTCTACCCTGGATAATCAAAGTCATCGCACACACACACCTTAATCACTTGCGTCACGTAACACGTACTAATATAACATGGCAAATTTAAGTTATGATTTCCTGTTGTTTCCCTTCATTGCACACCATCCAACGATTCTTCAATATTTTGGCTTCGATTTTCTCGAAAATGAAAAGCAAATTGGGGGAAAAAAACAGCAAAGCATTGTTAAGTAAGTAAATTGAAGACCACATGGAAAAAATCGGGCACTTTTGACAAAAAATTTTTTTTTACCTAAATAGTCATTGAGGAGGGTTTTCCACTAGCATCTTCAATTGTACTGTCAGTAAACTATTGGATTTGGAAATTTCCAGTTCCTTGCTTGAATGTTGATGCTACATGTAAATGAGGATCCAGAAAAAGACAGTGATGAAATGAAATTATAATTATTGAACTAGCCTAGCTGATACCATCTTGACTTATATTGTCTTTATTGAACAAGCAATCAAAATTGGCATGCAAGTGATATCGATCTGGGGTTGACATCTATACATGTACATTGTACATGTACATGCATCAGCTGTAATTGCATGTCCATTGTTATCATTGTCATCATTATCATTTCCAATTCCCCTACTGAGAAGATTCCCCTGTTTTGATATACATTGTATTAAAATTAGATTTGGTGCCCAAGCTTAGTGGAATAAGATGAGAAATCAAAATTTTTCATCCCTAACCTTGATGTGATTTCTTTTGTTTTATTCTCCTAACCCTCAGCACCTAGTTAGAATTTTAATACATCAAAATTGGCCTATTGTGCATCCACTTTGTAGTTATTGAGTACTGTATGTGCATGTATTCATCATCTGGAATATGTTTGAGCATTGCTGTTATGACACACATGCCAGGTATCAACTTTAAAATCTTTGAGCAGAAGTTGTCATGCTAGCATCTTGGAACCTTTCTTATCTGCTGCAACTTTTGCTGCTTCAAAGACCTTTGTCAGCTAATAATATGTTTTCATATACTTTATCCTGAAGACAATACGGACTCCCTGGGCATACAACTCTCAACCTGCCTACATGTAGGTCACCCATATGATGGCCAACGCCATTTTATCTTTTTCTTCTGTCAGGTTATGAACTGACTGGTTTGTCTCGTGGTGGTCAGCAGGTTGGAAAGTGTCAGGAAGTCTATGCAAAGGCTGTAAAACTGCTTGTAGAACTGGCCTCTCTACAGGTGAAGGACTATAATTCCTTTTTAGTTCTCGAAGTTAGCTAATCCCTTCTAACCTGTATGAACTACTAAATTTGAAACCTTCAATCTTGCGATATTAGATCTTATTATACATGTAGCTAATTCATTTAACTCTTCTTTTGTTCGTAATTTCAATCTTTTCAGACTGCCTTCATTACTCTAGATGAGGCAATCAAAATCACAAATAGAAGAGTGAATGCTATTGAGTATGGTAAGAATTTTTTTTTATTTCGAGGTTGGTTTTAAGATGAGATTGTCCTCTGGAAAGCTTCTTTTCCTTGATTTAGTCTTGAGCACATCAGGCAGATAATATCAATTGGTATGCAAGAAAGTTCAAATGTTAATTAACGATTGAGCATACTATGACATCATGCATTATTTGCCATACTTTTTGATTTGCAGTTATCATTCCTAAAATTGAGGCAACAATAACATACATCATAGGAGAGTTGGATGAAAGAGAGAGAGAAGAATTTTACAGGTCAGTGTGCATTCTTTATCATACAGTATAAGGAAGGTACCATTAAGTTGTGAGGTATTTCAGCACTCCAAAAGGCCACAACTTCATGTATGTTTTAGTGCATCTCAATGTGTGTGTCAACTCAGTTTGTACTGCATATCAGAGTACATTGACTGAAGTTCCAAATGAATGAAGGTTACATCCCCTGCAATTACTTTCAGTTGTAACAACTTTCAGGGGCAAGGGAGGGGGACTCTCCGGGTACATGTAGTGTACACATAGCAATAAATTGTTTTGTTATGTTCACGTACGTTTGGAAGGTCACTACTTTCAAGTGGTCATTTCTTTTGCAACTTTATGGTTTACCTTTTTCAAGGCTCTTCCAGGTTGTTCAGATGTTAGTTGAATCAGTGTCAGTCTTTCTTGAGGCTACTGTCAGCTGGACTGTCACACTGGACCAGCTACTGAATAAGGAGAGGGTGCAGGGGTGGAAGTCCAGGAGGAAAGGTAGTGGAAAGGCTGTAGAAAGGGGAAAACAGTTGATGGGACGTGGGATTGGTAACTTACATGTAAAGGTGCTAGGAACTGGGAGAAATAGGATTTCCTTGTAAGTTCAAGAGAAAAAGTACAGTCACAGGAGTCACAGAGGAAAGGGAAGAAATTGCAAGTAAAACATATTCAAAATTGGAAGTCCCCCTCCCCCCATTAAGTACTACTGGGTTCACATCGTTTATATTGTTGGTAAAGTCTCACTTTCTTCATACATGTTCATGTGCTACCTAGGCTTAAGAAAATTCAAGAAAAGAAGAAAATTATGAAAAAGAAGGCAGAAGAAGCAAAGAAAGCAAAAGGAATAACTAATGGTAAGAGTCAATGAGTAAATTTCAGTAACATCACGTTACTAAGTACAGGGTATATATATTGACCTGTTCAGTGGTGGATCCAGACCTCCAACTAAGGGGAGTGGGGGGGGGGGGGGGGGGNGGTTGTGGACATAGTATGGAATACCCCCGTTTCAGCATTGTAACTTATTTTTACCACTGATTACCTTCACTCTCTACACAGACTTTGTACATGTCATAGTCATCAGTTGTGAAAGCAAATTTCCCCTTGGTTGCTTCTTCTTTCTTGTACAAGACATGCCCGGTAGAATCAGTTACCTAAAAAAGGGGATTACCACGCGCATAAGCTAAATGCACAGGAAGCCAGATAACAAAGTTCATGCGAAAATTTAATCAACTTGTGCACCATCATCGATTGAAAAAAAGCCGCATTAACATGAAATAAGTGCGCTTTTTCGAAAAATACTCACCGTTAAGTGCGTTTTCTGATGGGGAGCTTCTGATAATCTGTATTCACCAGTGACTAAAACATCTTTATGAACTTCTTCTCTCAGACACTTCTCTTGACCGGGTGGTAAAGTGAACGAAAGAGTGCTAACTAGGGCAAAATAATTCAATAAGACTACAGATAAGACTACGAGGAGTGAAGACGCTTTCATTTCGAAATGTAAAGCGTTTAAAGACTAGATAAATGTGTCGTTTTCTGGCATCAATACGGCTTTCAAGATGGCTGGCGACGTGGCATAAGGAGAGAGAAAGAAGATCCGGGAATTCTTCCTTTTGCAACAATCCGCTGACTAAGCGCGGGCGATTGCCCGAAACAGGCTTGGTAGCCAAGCTAAACATTGGTACAAGGGAAGAAACAGAGAGGAAGAGAGAGAAGATTTAGGGTTGAACATTTCTGCGCTTTTCTCAATATGTCTGGCGGAGGAAAAGACAGGCTGAACATATTCCCTTCACGAATGTAAGGCAAACAATCTAGTTAAAGTAGTAAGAGTTTTTATGATGGAAATATCAATGAAAATGGGTTATATTTCATTGTTTGCTAGGGCCTTAACGTTGATGAAGGCTCGTCTGAAGGGAGCACAGAAAGGTCACAGTCTTCTGAAAAAGAAATCCGACGCATTGACGATGCGCTTCAGGAAAATCCTTAAACAGATCATAGAAGTAAGCGTGAAGAGTGGGAGGTAGATGTCACGAAATGTTAATTTTAAATATCAATTTTTTAACTTTCCGTTTTGTTTTTGCATCAAAAGACCAAAACTTTGATGGGTGATGTAATGAGAGAAGCAACTTTCTCTTTAGCTGAGGCAAACTTTGCTGCTGGGGATTTCAGGTAATCATTTAGATAAGTAATTAGATTACTGCAGTTTCATCGGCCTTATGGCTGCCTTTTTTATATGTAACACCTGCACGATGGAATAAAGGATGGATTGATTGACTAACTGACTGACTAAACTAATTGGCTGATTGTTTGATTGACTGACTGACTGACTGACTGACTGACTGACTGACTGATGGCATGATTGATTGATTGACTGATCGATATTTGTTTGACTGACTGACTGACTGACTGACTGACTGACTGACTGACTGGCTGGCTGACTGGCTGACTGACTAAATGACTGACTGACAGACAGACAGAGTAACTGCTGACTGACTGACTGAGTCAGACTTACTGACTGAGAGACTGACAGGCTGACCGACAGACTGATTGACTGACTGACTCACAGACTGACTAATGGAATGATTGATTGATTGACTGATCGATATATCCCTGACTTACTGTTGGATTGACTGATTGATTAACCTTTACAGTGGTTAGAATTTTGTCAAAATCTGAGATTTAAATGAATTTTGATGTGCACAATGAGTCTACTGGTCTTGAGTTACAGTAATGAGAAAACTGAATGAATCCAGTTCGCAATAACTTATACAACAGTGCAGATATTCCTAGGGCAATCTTTTACGAGTTTATTGAACTTTATCATAATATTGTACTTGTATGACGTTTTTGTGACAATTCAACATTGTACATAAAACCCTCTACATTTTCAGCTATGTTGTTCTGGAGAATGTTGACAAGGCACAAACAAAGATTCGTCTCAGGAAAGACAATGTTGCTGGTAGAGTATGACAGTAACTTTAAAATAGGACAATACTTAATAGATATCTTAATAGATACATTTATTTGACTTAAAAAAGTATGTAAAATTTGTAACATGGTGTAAGTGGTACAGATGTTACATGTACATGTATATAACTGACTGTATTATTATTCATGTAACCTACAGCAATTACATGTGCATGTATTATTGACACACTCAAGAGCTGCTCTAAGTTATTTTGTGTGTGTGTGTCCCCAAGTTGCCATTTCATCCCATATAAAAATAATTTCTAAGTCTTGACATTTTTTTCAGATTTGCAGTCTCAAATCTTTTCTTATTTTAGTTCTTGTTATTTCATATATATTTTACATGTACGTTGCACTTGTCCAAGAGTTTGTGGAATTATTGCTGGTATTGCTGTCATGTTTGGTAACAGCATGATATAAATTACTCCTTTGGTTCCATTTAAGGTGTTCAGTTACCAATATTTGAAGCATATGCTGATGGGACCAACAGTAAGTTTTATGCATTGAGGAACTATTGTTATATAATTTTTGTGGTTTTATGGACTTATAATTTGTAATTTGTTAACCCTGTCTACCCTGGATAATCAAAGTCATCGCACACACACACCTTAATCACTTGCGTCACGTAACACGTACTAATATAACATGGCAAATTTAAGTTATGATTTCCTGTTGTTTCCCTTCATTGCACACCATCCAACGATTCTTCAATATTTTGGCTTCGATTTTCTCGAAAATGAAAAGCAAATTGGGGGAAAAAAACAGCAAAGCATTGTTAAGTAAGTAAATTGAAGACCACATGGAAAAAATCGGGCACTTTTGACAAAAAATTTTTTTTTACCTAAATAGTCATTGAGGAGGGTTTTCCACTAGCATCTTCAATTGTACTGTCAGTAAACTATTGGATTTGGAAATTTCCAGTTCCTTGCTTGAATGTTGATGCTACATGTAAATGAGGATCCAGAAAAAGACAGTGATGAAATGAAATTATAATTATTGAACTAGCCTAGCTGATACCATCTTGACTTATATTGTCTTTATTGAACAAGCAATCAAAATTGGCATGCAAGTGATATCGATCTGGGGTTGACATCTATACATGTACATTGTACATGTACATGCATCAGCTGTAATTGCATGTCCATTGTTATCATTGTCATCATTATCATTTCCAATTCCCCTACTGAGAAGATTCCCCTGTTTTGATATACATTGTATTAAAATTAGATTTGGTGCCCAAGCTTAGTGGAATAAGATGAGAAATCAAAATTTTTCATCCCTAACCTTGATGTGATTTCTTTTGTTTTATTCTCCTAACCCTCAGCACCTAGTTAGAATTTTAATACATCAAAATTGGCCTATTGTGCATCCACTTTGTAGTTATTGAGTACTGTATGTGCATGTATTCATCATCTGGAATATGTTTGAGCATTGCTGTTATGACACACATGCCAGGTATCAACTTTAAAATCTTTGAGCAGAAGTTGTCATGCTAGCATCTTGGAACCTTTCTTATCTGCTGCAACTTTTGCTGCTTCAAAGACCTTTGTCAGCTAATAATATGTTTTCATATACTTTATCCTGAAGACAATACGGACTCCCTGGGCATACAACTCTCAACCTGCCTACATGTAGGTCACCCATATGATGGCCAACGCCATTTTATCTTTTTCTTCTGTCAGGTTATGAACTGACTGGTTTGTCTCGTGGTGGTCAGCAGGTTGGAAAGTGTCAGGAAGTCTATGCAAAGGCTGTAAAACTGCTTGTAGAACTGGCCTCTCTACAGGTGAAGGACTATAATTCCTTTTTAGTTCTCGAAGTTAGCTAATCCCTTCTAACCTGTATGAACTACTAAATTTGAAACCTTCAATCTTGCGATATTAGATCTTATTATACATGTAGCTAATTCATTTAACTCTTCTTTTGTTCGTAATTTCAATCTTTTCAGACTGCCTTCATTACTCTAGATGAGGCAATCAAAATCACAAATAGAAGAGTGAATGCTATTGAGTATGGTAAGAATTTTTTTTTATTTCGAGGTTGGTTTTAAGATGAGATTGTCCTCTGGAAAGCTTCTTTTCCTTGATTTAGTCTTGAGCACATCAGGCAGATAATATCAATTGGTATGCAAGAAAGTTCAAATGTTAATTAACGATTGAGCATACTATGACATCATGCATTATTTGCCATACTTTTTGATTTGCAGTTATCATTCCTAAAATTGAGGCAACAATAACATACATCATAGGAGAGTTGGATGAAAGAGAGAGAGAAGAATTTTACAGGTCAGTGTGCATTCTTTATCATACAGTATAAGGAAGGTACCATTAAGTTGTGAGGTATTTCAGCACTCCAAAAGGCCACAACTTCATGTATGTTTTAGTGCATCTCAATGTGTGTGTCAACTCAGTTTGTACTGCATATCAGAGTACATTGACTGAAGTTCCAAATGAATGAAGGTTACATCCCCTGCAATTACTTTCAGTTGTAACAACTTTCAGGGGCAAGGGAGGGGGACTCTCCGGGTACATGTAGTGTACACATAGCAATAAATTGTTTTGTTATGTTCACGTACGTTTGGAAGGTCACTACTTTCAAGTGGTCATTTCTTTTGCAACTTTATGGTTTACCTTTTTCAAGGCTCTTCCAGGTTGTTCAGATGTTAGTTGAATCAGTGTCAGTCTTTCTTGAGGCTACTGTCAGCTGGACTGTCACACTGGACCAGCTACTGAATAAGGAGAGGGTGCAGGGGTGGAAGTCCAGGAGGAAAGGTAGTGGAAAGGCTGTAGAAAGGGGAAAACAGTTGATGGGACGTGGGATTGGTAACTTACATGTAAAGGTGCTAGGAACTGGGAGAAATAGGATTTCCTTGTAAGTTCAAGAGAAAAAGTACAGTCACAGGAGTCACAGAGGAAAGGGAAGAAATTGCAAGTAAAACATATTCAAAATTGGAAGTCCCCCTCCCCCCATTAAGTACTACTGGGTTCACATCGTTTATATTGTTGGTAAAGTCTCACTTTCTTCATACATGTTCATGTGCTACCTAGGCTTAAGAAAATTCAAGAAAAGAAGAAAATTATGAAAAAGAAGGCAGAAGAAGCAAAGAAAGCAAAAGGAATAACTAATGGTAAGAGTCAATGAGTAAATTTCAGTAACATCACGTTACTAAGTACAGGGTATATATATTGACCTGTTCAGTGGTGGATCCAGAGCGAATGGATTACTCTTCTTAGTTGCTAGCCTTCACTCATTGTAGTCACTTTCATTTTTCTTCCTTTTTTCTTTTTTTTATGTTTTAAAATAAGAAGGACCCGGGCCCCTTCCCAGATCCACCACTGCTGTTTTAGACAGTCCTTTCCCTCGTTCGGTTGAAGCTACACATTTGTTGGGGTGGAAGCTAAATGTTGACAGTACTTGTATTTGCCATGGTTCTCAGTCGTTTTTACATCAGATTGCTGTCAGAAGAGACTGTAAATAAGCTTAAGAGGTGGCTACATTACATGTATATTACATACAAATCTTATGTTGCCGCATAAGCCTTGCATGTTGAGTCAGAACAGGCAACTGTCTTCAGGTGACAGAGGGTGGAAATCTACCTCTTGCCACCTTCTACTGACAGAGATGATCCCTGCTGATCCAGGGCAACATTTTATCAGTGACTTCCAAGAAATTTGCAAAGTACCCATACAATTTTTAGTAAGAGAGATAATGGTACTTGGAGAGACATTGTACAGTTGGTTTCTTGGTCAAGAATTCTTTAGCGTGATCCCAGATTTACCCAGAACTTATTTATTTTAAATATTTCACTTTCTGAATCTTTTGTTTTCAGATCAAACTGCAAACCTATTGGATGATGCAGAGGATGAAGATTTGCTTTTCAACTAACACCAAAATAATAGTATTATAAATATTAAATTCTTTCAAGATTGTCTTGTTTAGGAATCTCAGTTCTCAATTACTGCAGTAATTTATTTCAGAATTCTTATTACTACTGGTGGTAGAAAAATCAAGCTTTTTATAATGATGTGGGATTTTGTACAGACGTTACATGTATCTGCTCTAATTGTACAAATTGTATAAATGATTTAACTCAATCCATGAAGTATAGTTACATGTATCCTTGAATAATGTACATGTACAGTTTTTATGAACGTTACAGCTGTATCTGTTTTGCTTGGTTAGGTATTATAGACAATGAATACAGGATGTGGTAGATATTTTTTCATGGATTTTGTGAAATCAGTGTTGTATTGATACATTTTAATTATGAGTTATGTAACTACTGACAGCTATTTGAGAAGTCTTTATAGTCTAGTGTTGCTCCACTTAATTAACAATTTCAATTTAAATTCTGGTAGTGGATTGCTGCTTAATTATAGGAGTTATTCCCTGTACTGTTGAAGTGACACAAAATTTTTGAAACATTTTGCTGAGTTTAACTGCAGTAGTAATTCTGCATAATAATTTACCATGCATCACATAGAGTATTGATGTGTGAGTGAATGCCAGTCTAGCATAATTAACTGAATTCCACAGAGTTGGCAATGAGAATGATTAATAATAATTATTATAATGTTATACGGTTCTTGAGTACAACTTTATTTAATTTTTATTAATAATAGTAGATCTAGCATAAACTATGTTTCACATAGTGCATTGTATGGATATTCAAGATAATTATAATTGACATTCATGGATCAATGTGGTAAACTGTTTATTTTGAAGCATTCATGCTCTTCCGTGAACTCTGTGAATAGTTCTTGAATCTGGCCATCAAGGGCATATGACAGTTTGGCTGAATAGACATTGCATAAAGAAACAAGGGTTACAATCAGAGTTTGAACTGCCCTCCTGAAGAACTTCTGATCAGTTTCCTTGGTCTCTTGTTGCTTTTACAGAAGACATACTTAGTGTGACAGCTTGCAAGTTTTTCACTACTTGTGAGACTACAGGTACTCAGTCATCCTGAAAGATAACCACTGATTTTAAAAATATTTCTAAACGTTTGCCATACCCTTTAAATATACACTTTACTTTTTGTTTGTTTGGGGGTGGGGGATGGGGAGGCTTACGAGAGAATAGGGCCAAGGGGGGTATTGCAACTACATTCACCATCTCTGATTTTAAAATGCTATTTTGTATATTATTAAGCTCTTAAATTGCCATCATAACTGACTAGAGGTCTGATCTAATCAAGCTTCAAGTCATCATCTCAGCATCCCCTGCTGTCATATTACTACATCTTGCTTCCCAAAAAAGAAGGCACTCACCCATTCATCATCATCAGCTTCAGCTACTTCATCCTGTGGAATTTCTTGTCGACCTTTAAATGACATCACCTTGTCTGTCCAAGAGCTACCTGCTCCCTCCCCTCCAGTGTAATTTGTTGCAGTTGCACTGCTATCTTCAAGTTTGACAATGAACTCTTGAAGCAGAAAAGAATCTTATTTTAATATATTGATGACTAAGGTTTTATGTTCGATGATTAGCAATTAGCAGATACTCATGGTCTTACAGCCATGGATATTGTGACACTAGTTGCCTTGCAGGTTGTCAGTGGTCAGAACACTTTTTGTGAGGTAAGCATTGCTCAGACAATTTGTTGTTATTTGTTCTTTCCTTTTATTTCCTGGTTCTGTTTATACAGCTCTCACAAGAGAGCCCCACTGTAAGATCTGACTGTCTTGCCGGTCTCAAATAAATTCACTTATTTCATTGTAACTAAACTTTCTTTAAGATGGACACAGCTAAAGTGAACAGGTAGAGCTGCAAGCCAGAAGGAGTAAAGAAGTAGCAATTTAAAAAATATATATCAGGGGAAAAGAGACCAAGAAATAATAATAAGAACATTTATTAACAACAAATCTCACCGATGAATGGGCCTTCTCCTTTAGTTTTTAATCTGACATGGTCTCCTTGAAGCAGTTCCATCTTGTCAATGTATTTTTCTTCACACCAGAAGGCTTGACTGGCATTTTTGCCACTATCATGGAGTTTGTTCTCTGTGAGTCTTGACAATTCTGCTACTGTTGTCATCTTTTTTGCCTCAGCTGGGTTAATTTTATCAGAATCACCAGCAGCAGAAGTCTCTACAGTACAAAATTATGAAAGTATGTTTGAGACAAGGACAGCAATAATTCAATAATTTTTAATATTAAGTGAATGTGTTTAAAAACACATTCACTTAATATTATGATAATTTCAGTATCACTTTCAAATCCAACGATAATTTGATCACCAGGGAAAAGATATGTACAATCCTGGTCAAAAGTCCTTGAGACACTTCACAAAATGTCAACTGGTGATGATTATTTTGAAGTGGTAAGCCATTATTAAATTTTTCCGACCACCCCCCCTCCCCCCCCCAAAGCAATGTTGGAATAGTGGGTCTACTTTGAATGAATCAACATCAACACTGTGTTAAGGGTGATAAGAGGAAGTGGACAGAAAGACCATACCTTAGCAAAAGTGCAAAGTGTCCCAAGACTTTTGACCAGAATTGTAGTTCACGTCCTGTGAATTCAAAAGCACGTCCTTTTGTAAATTAAAACACCTTTCCAAACATTTCAATCTTAATTGTGAAAATACATTCGTGGAGGTCTGACTTACTGTAAGACGACATCAAATAACCAGTGCTGACTTTCTTGTCCTTCCCGTAGTTAGGTTCAATTTCCTTTCCAGAGCTTGAATCAAATTTTCTCTTCAAGGCTTTTGAAATCTCAACATGTAGCACAACATAACGCCACTGTTTAAATTTGTTTAAAGAAAGCAGTAAATCAAACAGAAGACATGAAGTCATTCAATATGAAGATTAAAATATGATGATTAAAATAATAAACGGATATACCTTCTGGGAACCTGAGAATGGATCAGTAACAGAAAATCTCAATTGTCCATGGATATTTCCCTCAATGATTACACCACCAGGCCTTTTGAAACAAATGCAAGATAACAATAGCACCATAATGATTGTATTTTACACTCACAGCCTCCTTGCCTCCTCCCCACCCCCGCACCCCCTCCATTGATGAGCTACCAGCAAGTGAAAATGTACTGCCTAAAAATATATTTAAGTGCTGGTATTATGCCCCCACCCTGAATTAAATTGATTTTTTCCCCTCACAAACATGCCAGCTTCTGTCCCAACAGGAGTACGGGGAAGAGGGTGGGTGTGGATTACCTAGGACAAAACTAAAATTAATAATTATATAATTAAATAATTATATACACGGAACTTCAAGAACTATTCCATAACAAAAACTGCCACATAAAACTTTAAACTCTGGCATGTTTAAGTCTTTAGGGGAGTAAGTAAGAATCACAATACTAGCTTGAATTTTAAATCTCTTAAAATAATATACTTTTATTTCCCATTTTAATGATCATCTTTAAACATATAATTGTTGCAGTCCATTCCAATTAACCCGCGTCCTTTTCATTTCACTTTCCCTTTTGCATCTTGACGAGAGAGCGAGCATATTGACTGTCCAAGTCTCTACATGTACATTAATCTCTCAGACCAGAGCTTGTTCGTCATTCTGCTAATAGCGGACAGTCGTAAAGCAGCTTAAAGCCAGGTACAATTTAGTTAACGCTGTTCACAAGGATTTATTATTCTCATTAATCCTGAAAAACTGGTAAAGTTTGGAGACTTTCGGGGATATATAAGCAGTTGAAAAAGATCGAAACTAAAGCGATTTATCATTAGGGGTGGCGAATGGTCCGTCAAAAACTCTGGGTCTAGCAAAATTTTAGTCGAATTTTATGGGTCTCGCAGTCTGGTTTTTTTTTCTCGGTTATGTGCGTCTCGCAGTTCTCGTGTTTCACACGAAGGTGTCTCGGAGTCTCGATTTTTTGCCACGGCTAAAGGTCTCGAAGTCCCGATTCGTTTGTTTGTTTTTTAGATCTGATGTCTCGTACACAACGAAAGGCTCCTTTGTAAGACTTTTGTACAAGCTCATTCTAGCTCATTCTCGTAGCTCTCAACCAAATCTGGGGCTCGAATTTTAAGAGTCTGAACGTCTCGCGCTCGCACTGAAAACACATAAGTCTCGGTCTCGCAATCTAAACAGTCAAAATGTCTCGGGCTCGCAAAGAAAAACGCTAGTCTCGCCGTCTCGCCAAGTCTCGCATTTACCATTGGCCACCCCTATCATTGTCTCACTTTAGAAAACCAACCTCTGTGAACGAAAAAGCTCCTCGGGTTCCCAACGCTTTTCCCATCGAACAGGAGTTACAGGAATTGACTCCAAAGGTTTGTTGTCGTAGAGCATATGAGCACGACTCATTTTACCTGCAGTTGTTTCGTCGCACGTTCTAGAGTTATATTTCAAGCCATTTGACAATATTGACAGGCGTTCTCAAAAATTCCGGTTGATTGTGAGGGTCTGGAAAGGAATGGACGTCACGCGATCCAGCGACATGTAGATGTCACGAAATGAGTCTGTATAACGAATGGATCTCTTTACCGATGTCACGAAATGAGAACAATTAGTTTGTATTCTTCATGTAAACACAAAACTACCTCAATAGATCAATTTATCGTGCCTAATTTAATGGATATGCGACGTTTCATAAAAGTCTGATAAAAAATCGTGAAAACATGGGACCCCAAACTTGCCAATACTCAGCAAAGGCAAGGGGCAAGCCTTGCCCCCTCACTAAAAAGAATTGCAACTTCGGTTCCCATATTTTTGTGCGACAGTTGCAACGGAATCTTATGACACTTCGCATATTTAATAAATTCGACACGGGCATGACAAATTGAGCAGTAAGGGTGAAAAAATTGGAATAAAGGAGACCCGTACTTAGTTATTGACCAATAAATACATGCCGTTTTGTCTTAGATCTAGTACCAGCCTTGTAATCAATTTTGTCTGAGTTATGATTTGGCATATTCAAACGCGTTAGAATTGGAAGTACTGTGCCTCTCTTCGCCGATTCGTTACAAGAGCTTAAATTGGGAGATCACTACAAAATGTGTTTATACTCAGTTGCTGTCATTTGCAGGCGCAAATGAGAAGGGGACAACGTTTCTGCACAAAATTATTCCTTGTATTCATCACAATTCCCTACTCCCTGAACGCTTTGAGCAACTGAGATGCCACGATAGTCGAGTTGTATTAATTTCTATTCCAAAATGCCACGTGGTATCTATATTTGGAGGGACAATTCATAAGATGAAGCTGTGCACGGAGATGGAGATCCATATAGAAAAGGGGGTAAGGGACTAAGGGGTGGGGGAGGGGCAACTTCGGTCAAAGCGCTGATATTCAAAGCACACAGAACGTAACGTGAAGCCAGTTCATCAACTTTATTACAAAAGTGTAACAAAAATAAGCTCTTGCTCAAATAATTTGGAAATATTCCGCAACGGAAAAGCAAAAAATTACATGATTACCTGGCGAATAAATTACATATTAAATAGGATTTCTTTTTTTTTTTATATATATATACTCCCTTAAATAAACCCTTCTCCTGGTTAACATTGCGTTTCTCCGGTACGCCCTAAGAGTGATCAGATCAAATTTCTCCTTGCAGCAACACTACATTGCTAAGAAGTGAGGTAATGAGATTAAGGAAAATCATCAACCGGGCACTATTGTCTTCATAATTAAAAGAAGTGCTCAGTAATCTATGCTGGGAAAAAGACTAATGGCCTTACCGTACGAGAATTGAATCGGTTTGATGTGCTTTTGAAACGCTACCAAAAAGAATCCAAGTTGAATTAATTACACTTGATGTTCAATTGCATTCCTCCCGATTTCCTGAGCAAAACTCTTGGCTTTTTAGTGAACTTTTCCGCAGTTGGCCTGCCATCTACGAGTGGCAGATCTCAAAAACTTTAGCTAATTATTTTTCAAGTCTTTCGTTCCGGCCAAATTTGTCTTAATCCTGGTTAATCTTCACCAATCTGAACTATCACGGCTTCTTGAAAGTTTAGTCTACCTCTCATGTTTTTTTTCTGCGTCAGTCAATTATCATTTTGATTTTTTTATAGGCTCACAATGTGTAATTTTATGCATTCCATAAAAAAAAACATGTCACAATTCGTTTAAGTTTCAATGCAAAGCCAACAACTTGCTGAGAAGGCAAGCTTCCCCACGGTACGTATTTCAATCAAGCCCTAACGTTGCTCCATTCTCAAAACAAATTCCTTACACCTTATCCAGGAATATCCTTAGTTTAAATTTTCATCGAGCATAACAGATACATAACCTCCAACACAGACGCTCTTTGGGGTCGTCAGGCAATCTTGCGTGACGAGTCCAACGAGCTACCCGCGCAGGAGACCAAACAGATACAATGATTCATCATACTCTTCATCCCAATGACGGGATTTTACAAACGATAATAATATCTTTACACTTTTTTTATATTCTGTTCCACCAGCTTAATTATCATCGTGCAATAAGCTGCACACTGAATACGATAAGAAATCGATTATTAATAACCTTGACATTTCTTTCTGCCCCTTAATAGAAGTACGTGAAAAATTTCATATTTTTTCGTTGGATATTACTCTCTAATGACGGCCTTAAGTCACCAAAAGAAATCGAGTTTATAGACAGTGGTATCTCGACTTCTCGAACCTCGATTTTATTCAACCCTTCCCTCCCCTCAGTCGAACGCTGTAATCCAACCCCCCGCCCGATTTCTCTTTTTCAACGATATTTCAAAAAAACTTTCGTTTCTCCTAGAGGTTCGAAAAAATCGGGATTCCACTGTGGTTTTATATCGAAAAACTTCTAATCTACAACTTGAGATTGCCAAGACCAACTGAATTCTTCATGTATCTTTAAAACTCAGAAAAACGCTCAATACAAATATATTCATTTTGATAGTGAAATATCCATTAATTAAATATAAACTGAATTGAATTTAACAGTTTCATCGCGATTCAATAGTCAATATTGCATTGTTTGATACAAAAGTCGAGCGAAAACGAACTTTCCTCGCTCTTCATTCAAAACCGTTCCGCGACAATACAAAATTATTTCCGAACGAAATTAAGCTTTATTCCTTATAGTTTGATAAGAAAATATTTACTATACTATAATCCTGCGCAAAATAGAATTAATAAAATCGACTTTTTTAGTTGTGTACAAAAATAAGACACTGTAGAAAATGGTTCTGCCATAAAAAGGCTTACTTTGCAAACAAAATGCTGCAATTAAAAAGACTGTTTTAAACAACAAAAGACCTGTCAATTCGACTTAAAAAAGATAAGGAAATCTGAAAAGTGATATATACAATTAATCTAATTGCAATCTAGCCGTCCATTTTATTTCTTAGTATGCAATCCATACTTCTAAATAACTGGAAGAATTCAATCATTTCGTTTCAAATTTTGCAGTAAGCGGGTTTTCCCCATCATGTTTATCAGCGTTTAATAATAATCAATATTTCATTCGTCAACTACGTGACTACTAAACGGCATAAAATACCAAATTCTTTCTCTCTCTCTTTCGCCAAGAGCCTGTTTTAGAACCAGCTTGAACGAAAAAATATTCATTTGTGCTAATAGACACTGGCATTAGACAACCAATTTCTCTTACTTATTCACGAACGTTCAAATTCTTCACCCTCTTCTCAGAAGTTTGTCGTTTTCGGAAAATACTCTAACCAGTACTCCACAATAATAAATTATTAAATTTGACTCGTAATTTTGAATTAATTTACAGTAAACTAAATGTACATTGAACGGGCTACCAGCCAAATATTGTACAAATTCTTCGTTTTCCATCGACAAGCATCACCCTGGCGACGCTGCAAAAAAAAAGCGTAAACGAAAAATTCGCACTAATTATTTCTCTCGTCTCCGCGTTTTCTTCGTCATTTCGTCAAATTTGAATCTCCATTTTCAACTTATTTTATTTGTTTTGAAACAGGGTAATCTCTGACGATGGTAAACGAAATATTTCATTGGGATATTTTTTGCCATTCAGGGCAACAACATACAGTAATTACCACAGAAAATTATTTCAGTGCTACACATACTTTCCTTATGGCCTTATTCTCCCAGAGGAGATAAGGAATGACGTTACACATACTTTCCAACTATTCTCTCTTCTTTTGTCCACTTCATTTTTCGAAACGTATTTTGCAGCGCCACTACTGTGGCTCCATCCTTTTGACCCCATTCCTGAAGCATGGCCTGTGTGGCATTTCCTTTCTCCAGAGCAAAGGTGTTAACCTGTGTGCTATTGAATTTGAGCTGACCTCCCAGGCGCTTCCATCTTTCGCCGGGATTTAAATAAAAAGCCAGTTCGCTGAAGAGTGTGTACGGCACATCTCGAAGCATTTTCTCTTGACCTGAAAATACAAATAAACAAAAATTATTTTTATCACCATAATAAAACAAAAATCAGCGCGAAGTTAGAAAGGTAAGAAGATGTTTCGATGTATTGAAAGTCATTCTTGTTACTCGCGCAAGCTTTCCTCTTGATTACGAGATAGATTAATGACTGCTTTAAGAAAGATTCGACTTTTCAACGACATATCCATCACCTTGGAGCTAAAATTGGCTCCAAGTGACTGCCACACAATTCCAATACTTATAAAGTCCCTTGATTTCGAGGGTATAAGACAAGCGGTTTTTCACCGATACATACCCTGCTTGCTGATGCCAAAAGGCAGTGAACTGTAGGGATTTTCAACCGCCTCTATAACGTCTATCGAGTTTGATCTTGTACTTGGTTCCTCTCCCCCTGCAGACAAATTAAAAACATTCCTCAAGACAACGGCTCCACGACTCTGAAGATTCCTGCTTATGGTTAACACATACATTGCGTATAGAGCTGTTTTCACTTGAGTGTCCAAATAATATTGGCTACTGAAAAAAAAACGCGCGCTATTTTTTCATCTCGCGAGAAGTAAAACCAAGACCGATTGCGAATTGTTCGTACACGCTTTCTTGCGTTTTGCGTCAGCTACAACATGTATTTACTCCAAGTTTTGATTGGTTCATTGGATTGTCTGTGTCCTTTGTGTTTCGCCAGAGTGATTAAAATGACGGTCATGGCTTTAGAAGGGTTTTCAGTAGAGTGTCGAAAGAATGTAATCAGGTAATTACTTTGATTATGGCTTTGGTTTTACTACGGTTTGAGATTGGCTGAGTCGTCTTATTGGTAAGTACCTTGGTACACTCAGTTGAAAACTGCTCTACGACTCTCAATTGAAAACTGCTTTAATTATTGCCACGCCTTACACGGGTTTAACTTCGTTATTTGCTAATTGTGCCAATTACGTCTACAGCTTCGAATTGCCACAGATACATTTTAATCTATGCTGGAAAGAAACGCTTCTTTACCTGGTTTAGGCTTTTTTCTCGGTCGATTCCCTCTCCTGTACCGGTACACCAGTACGAAAACAACAACGAGAACCACTACAACAGCAACCAGTGAATACAGGACAGCCTGAAGTCCTGTGTCATCTTCACTGTCCGTGTCGTCCTGGATGGGGACTGGGGTCAAGGACTGGTTCTGTGCTGTAACTGAATAATACGTATGTTTAACTGAAGGGTTGCAATGGTACACACTTTGGTGATTCTATATCACTGTGTTACTGGCACACCACCTACAAGATGCCACTCTATTCTATGCCGTCAAACACTCAGATTGTTCACGGTTACTAACAGGGATAAACACCAAAACCTGGAATATAACAACTTTAAGAGCAATGGTAATCCTCCACGAGATTAATAAGGGTAATTTTCTCCTTCTGTTTATAGACGTTGCACCATTCTGGCAATATTCTGTCACGCCAAGACACACGTTGTCACGCTAGAGTCAAACTGTTCCAGCTAGTTTTAATAATATGGTGTATTTTACGAGAATTAAACATCCATTTTTTTGAACGAATGGGGTCAACATGATGGCCCTCCTAAAGCCAGGAACGAGTTCTGTCAAGCTAAGTTAAGTCAAGTTTAATATGCTGTAAACTGATCGATCTGTTCGTAAATCTATTGGCTCTTAATCAAGGATTAAGTTTATTTTTAAACACAAACTTCAGACAAACAAAACAATCTGATCACACTCACCAGGTTCAGTCGAGACACGTATTGTGGTATTCTTCCGTCGTTTTTTCTTTGTTGTTGTCGTTCTGTTTCGTACTGGCGGCCTTGTTACCGCCGTTCCTTGCGATACCTTTGGTATCCTTGGCACTTTAGAATTGTTTTTGTCCTTTTCGGGAACACAGACCGCGTCTGTTCTTCTTGAACATTCTTTCTGAAGGATGTGTCCTTTCGGACATACCCTACAAGTCTTGCATGTTTCCAAGTTTTTTTCGTCTGAAAACGTTTCGCCCTACAAAACGAAACTCATGTCAGTTACTCAACGATACAATTCAGGTTCTGGGCATATTTGTTCAATGTTGCCTGATGATCCGTGTTCGTCAAGTTTTCTGTTTTCTGTTATTGCGCATTAAAAAAAAAAAAGAAAGAAACATTAGGATGGCTCAGATTTCAGATTTGCCTTGGCCTTTTTTTTTTTCACTTCACATTTTTCCCGATTAGCTGGGAAGAAGGGACGGTCTCATGGTTGCTGGACTTCGGGCGGTCTGGGTTCAAGTCCGGCATCCCAGAGAGACACTAATTAGAGCTTCTTGTAGAATCCCATTGGGGGAAAATAAAGATTGATTGATCGATCGATCGATCGATCGATCGATTGATTGATTGATTGATCGATCGATTGATTGATTGATTGATTGATTGATTGATTGATTGATCCCTGAGTCACTGCATTGCGTTCCAAGGTAAGAAACTTTACTCTCACAGCGCCTCACTCCACTCAGGTATATAAATAGGTGAATTAAACGCTGAGGGGCAACCATACAATGGACTGGAATCTCATCCAGGGGGAAGTAGAAATATTCCAAGTCGCATAATACTACGGAAATCGAGATATTATCCCAGAGGTATGGACCACTAGGCCCAACGCCGTCTTCATCTTTGATTCACCAAGCGAGACTTGGAAATGATATTCCCAGCTATGTCCGTCAGATCACTAGCTAAACCACGTGGCAGTAGTGAAGAATATTGCTAAAGCGTGAACACTGTCAGGATGAAACTTACGAGTTGATTTTAAAGTTTAAGTTTGATAATACTTTGTCATGCTAGTACAAGCAAATAAATCACACAAATTACAAAAAGTACATGACTGGAGAATAATTGGGGGAAACTAAATTCCCATACAAAGAATATTCTCCGATATTAAACCTTCTAAAAAAATTAAGAAGTGAAATTTAAAATTTAAGTGCGGCCCAAAACTACCCTAATCAAATTGCATACTAAAATTGATTTTTCAAGGCAGAACAATGAAACATTTCTTTATCTGATTTTGTAATGAAAAACTGGCGTTGAGATGTGCCTGCACAAACACAAGGTCGATTCCGTTTATTCTCACTGTACCTGACAATGCATAGATAAAGTGCGGAGAAATATCATGTTTATTATTAACACAAAAGAATTCTTCATCTCTTACCTTTACACAGAGTTCGCACTCGGTATTGCTAGTGGCCGTACAATTTCTAACTACTCCTCGTCCTTTTTTACACGGGGTACATTTTAAACAGAACGTTAGGTGGGTATCGTAGTAGTAACCGGGCTGACAAGAACACTTCGTGTTGGAAGAGCTTGTACAAGACTTGACTATCTCATTGTGTCTACCGATACATCTGTCGCACGGTGAACATTTCGTAGCATTGTTTTTGTCCGAAAATGTCCCGTTGGGGCATTTTTGGCATCCAGTATTTGTGATAAATGTCCCTGGGACACAATTAATTCCCAACGCATATACTGTCTGTGAAGAGAAATAAACAGACAAATCATAAACAAAAAAATTTATATATATCAAAAGTTAAGCTATAAATTACTTTCCCAATGACGAGAATTGAATTTTGTAAGAATTAAAACGCAGTGTAATATCAAGAAAATGAAGGGTATTTTCACTTGTAAGTCAATCGCGCTACTTTTGCTTACATTATGGGCTGAATTATCCTTTAATACTAGCACAATCATGCACAAACGTGCGCTAAGTGAGTCAAAATACGACGAATGTTGAACTGCGGGTAGATATTACATTGGAAAGAAGACACTCCTCGAGTCTTAACTTGTTTGTACTACACTGGTATCAGACTTACTACTCACTAAGAGACAAAATGTTTAAGGTTAGGGTTCAGACTTCAATATAGGCTTTAATAGCCGCATTTTCATTACGATACCGCCTGACTTTTGCTCTACGAGATATTGGACCCGGTCTTAAATCAAGGTGCAAACGAGAATGGATGTTTTTCTTTATAAACAGATAAAAAACTGAAACTTTATTTAGATGTTATATTCGACACGGTGGGTAAAGATGACTTAGTTACAGTACTTTCTAGTGGTAATCAGATATAGAGTTTACAAAGAATAGAAAATACGTTTGTCTTTTCTATTAATAGGGCTGATGTAAAATGAAATCCATGTTAGTATGTACAGACAATTATTCTGTAATGTCGAGTTGGTTGTCACGAGAGAATACAATTAAAGGGATTTATGCAAACATATCGTGCTTGGAATATCATTTTGGCGGTCTTGCAAAAAGAGAGAACCTTGTTTCCGATCGAGTAACCTTAGTTAATAACAGACTTAAAAGTGGGCGATAAAGCTATCAGTTTGAAGTGAATGGCTTGATTTATATGAACTGCAGATCGAGGCAAATGAGTCAGTTAGCGTGATCTCGTGAGGATAATTACAAACCGCAAAACAAAGAATGCGAGCGTCCGCTGATTTTCAAGTGATTTCCGCAACACTTGAAATATTTTTATCGTCTGTTAAAAAAATCCGCAGCAATACAGAAACAGGTTGTAAAAGCAAGTGAACTATCGGATTGATCAACTAAAAGAGTTTGGTTCAAAAACGATTTACCTTTGTAATTTCGTATCGAAATCGAATCGCATCGAAATTAAGTACTAACGTGTACGTCACAAGTGCTTGGCTAGACGCTGAGTTTGCAAAACAACGACATGTCACGAAAACATTTCAAAGTGAGGAATAATTAAAACTATCTTAACTCTTTTCTATGCAAATCTCCGGCAAAATTCAGGTCATGATTGGCAGGGTAATAAAAAAATTTACCACCAGAAAGCTCAATGAGAAAGAAAACAACACAGAGGGTAATACCAATAACATAATCACCACTCCAAACGTCAATTTCCTCAAAGGGAGAACCCGGGACAACAACATTAAACGCAACCTTTCCAAAACCCTTCCAACGTAATTCCCTGCTGAAGAGTTATGCCCTTAACACAAGCACAAACTGCTGATGAAGATGAGCTATCGCCATCGTTTCTCTTACCGATGCGCGAATCTTTCAACGACAATACCTCTGATTGCATGTACAAACGCATCAAACTTGATCTATTGTCTTTCTCCTTCTCGTCTCCGCGTTGGCACAGAATGCATATTTCATTTTGTCCAGAGACATTTTTACGGAGTGAAATTCACGTCAAAATAACCTTAGCTAACTCAGTTTAACCCTTCGAGCTTAGCGTATTCAATATTGTCAAAAGTCGAAAACTACTGAGTTTTCGTCAGAAACCCGGTGTAGAAAAAGTATGGCTTACGCAACACGACTTAAAACAACGTCAGAGCACATAGCCATGTTTCTCGTTGATCTATCAGTTTTCTTTGCCGAGAAGACTAATTGTGCTCGACCTTTTAACACTTTCCCAAGAAAGCGACGCCGAAAAAAGGTTGAGATACTGAACGCTTAGGATTTTTTTGACCTAACTTTAACCGTGTTTACAGTAAACGTTTTCGTCTAAGTACACGTTTTGTATAAACGGACTCTAACCTTATTTTTTGCTTCCACGCCGTCAGTTGGTGAAAATAGGGTTGCGATCGATAACAAAATAATAACATGGAGAAGTCCAAGCTTTCCAAAGCGCATTTTGTTTGCTCTTTGGCCACATCGACTTTCGACCAACGCACTTCGGCGTAATGTTATCATTGATCCGCGCGCATGGAGCTATTGTTCAGTTCCACAGGCACTCTGCCAATCATCATTGTCCAAACTGATGGTGCCTGGTGGAAATTCTAGATTTCCGCGATAACAATTCCCTAATGTTCAGCATGTTTAGGCAGATTCCTTGAAAAAGCCACTGAGACATTTTAGTAAGACGGTTTTAGTATTATTATTGTTGACGTTTGTTTTCAACAAGCCAGTTAATTCTTAGGTGCAGTAAGCCAGCTCATTTAAAGGGCTTGCGGAAATGCGCGTAAATAAAGTTTGTAATAGTTCACGCCAAATATTAGATTTTTTAAGGTAAAAAGGCTGGAATGATACCACAACTTTTGTTTTTCAAATCGTTGTAGATACGCGTCAATTTGCCGCAGAAAGAAAGTTTGGGGAAGCGTTCGGCTGTCAGAGACATTAGAGCTGAGACGACAAAGTCGTATGGCTGTCACCTGCCAGCAGAAGGAATCGTTCTGTTAAAAGAGCTGGCTGACAAAACCGCGCTATTTCACATGCCAACGATACTGTTTCTTGACTCTCCAAATTATGACCTTAAATTGTAGAAAAAAGGCAAAAGAGAAAGGTTTCCGTGAGAACCTTTTTTCTGATTTTAAAACGTGTGAAACTCACGTGAGGGCGACACGACCTACTCGACTAAAAAGCGGGTTTTTGTTCTTTACTATAATTCTAAAATTCTTTCTCATTAAAATATCATTTCCCTCGTCTTAACTCATTATTGAGCGATCCAAAAGTGCGTTATCTTATTTAACGAGACGAAAAACTAAACAATTAAGACAATTACGATATAGTTCCACAGTTCTAACAGCGAATTTCCGTGCAGAAAATAAACTCATCAGCACAGCTTGTTTCAGAAAACAACCTTTGTTAACTTATTGCCTGAAAACCTCTTGATATTAAACAAGGCTCTCGATAGAATTGAAGTATCAGAGGCAAGTTTCAAAAGTAGATGGCCGGATTGAAGAGATTATCGCTTTGAGTAAAAAAAAAGTGAAGCAGCCATTACTCCTATGGAACCGCCCGCGAATCTGATTGACAGAGGTAAAGTTTTAACGCGTCTCAGTCGGTCACGCAATGACGATTTCTGTCTTTACGACAAGATTTCAAGCTTTAAAACTACAAAATGCCAAGGAATTATCTATTATCAATTCAATGGCTAAATCTTAGTTACATAAAAATACAATTAATAAAATTAACCGCGAGATATTGAAGGCGCTAACCATCTTTCGGTCCGGCAGAAATCACACCATATTTGCTTCAATTCTGTCCTTCAGCTTGGTTCCGAAATTTAACCATCCGTTACCCCCTTTGCACCTTCCTGTTTTCATTTAATTCAGAGCGTGCTTCGGAACAAATTGTTTATTTTCCGTATTTTTGCGAAGTGTAGAACTTGTACAGAGGAAATAGTTCGTCACCACTCCTATTAAAGCTGGTAATACTCAACTTGACAACGATCGTCAAAGCCGTACAGTACACATCTCAGTGCGAACATGCCGGATTTATAATACATGAAAAGATCGTTCCGATGGGAAAGTGAATTCCAGCTGTGTTTAAGAACGAATCAACAGTTTCCGGTCTTGCAACCAGACACGTTAAACACGCAATCACTAATGTTAAGAGTCTCGCTTATATTGTGCACCATTTTTAATGCAGAGAATTGTTTCGAATTGCTCGAGAACTTTTAGGTTTCCAAACATTAATAAAAAAGTCAACCCCTCGTAATCGTGGTTTTCGAGTTTGGTGTAGAAGACCTGAGAATCTGATTTACGCTTTGGGTCAAGAAATCCATCCACGGAAATAATATTTTAATTAATAAAACTATTGACATTGGAATTTCCTATAAATAGTTTTCCTTTGGAATGTTGTCCTGAAAATGACACTTCGGTGCGACAAATTACAGCGCCAAATTTGTTTAAGTACTTGAGAAATATCTGATTCAACGAAGATACGTGTCTTGTCGTAAAAATAAAGCGATTAATGTCTTTCTCCAAATAAAACTGACAGCCCAAGAGTAATATAACGCTGGCATTTATATGTAAATAAGGCAAACGAAGGTGTTTTCAGCAACGAAAACAAATCATTTTAGGGCATCATTCCTCACGTACGCTATTTGAACTATGCTTTTTGTCGTTTTGTAGTGTTAAACAACGGTTGAACCTTTTCGATCTCGCGGCCCCCTCCCGCCGAGATGCCTACTGTCAAAATAATTTGGGTATTCCGTGTGCGGACACACATTGTTTTGTATTCTAACATATTTGCCATCATTAGGCTTACGAATGGCGCCGTGCGACCCACGAGGCTCACAGCGAGCAGTATTTTTGAAATAGAACGTTCAAAATAAACACGTTCCGCCGTTTTGCTTCGCTTTGTGCGATTTTCACTCAACTGGCACCTCAGCAAGAAGTAATGAAAAGAATCCGAAATCTAATTGATGCCTCCATTTATTGTGTATTGTATTGGCAGGCAAGTTTGAACTTATGCAAAGTGGGAGGGTCAGTTCAGTGAGCGCCCGAGCAGAAAAAGGCCGACACACACCGCCGACAAAAAGCAAACTATTTGCGATCACTTAAGGCGTATAATTTGATGGAGAACGAGAAAAACACTCCAAAAGGATTACGAACTTGTACCGCAGCCAAAAGTTCCGACTCTGGACAACATCTGCTCTAATACCCACTATTAGCAAACGAGCGAATGAAAAGCGATTTGTTAAATTTGTCCTCAGGGCAAAGTTTTGAAGCGTACGCTTGAAGTTTATTTTCTGCTTTCGAGTAACGGGTTTTGCGTTGTGTTTCTCAAGTAGCCGTAGTTCGTATTCTAAAACAACTCAAAAGAAGTTTGTTCACACAGGTTGGTTTAACACTACCGAGCCATAACTTGTACATCGATCGAGTCGCGTTGAAAGTTAATCATTACGAGTCGCGATTTCAAAACAAGCCCTCCCACACGGGGGACTTTTTATAAACAACGCATTCACTTGCCACAAAAAGAATTGAACTCAACAATCCAGAGATTTAACATAAATATTGCGTTCTCCACACAGGTAGCCGATACGGCGAAATCGAGACATGCCGAGGATGTAATCGGTTTCTACGTCCACTATCCATGGTGGTCTATGCATGGCAAACATTTGATACCTTCGATCGAGCGCAGGCCATGTGCTTATTGGAACTTCGCACGAAAACAATTTCCAAACGGGAAGGGTGTAGAAATACTCAGTTGAAACGGTGCTCTCGAGAAAAGGTCGAAAAAAAATGTGTTCTCGAGAACAAAACCATTTAAATACAAAACCATTTAGGTTTTGATATTGACAACAGTGTGAGTTTCAGCTGCAGCACCGAGGTGTTGTCACGAGCGAAAATAGCAACCGCAAGAAAAATTTCATCATCATTTGCTGTTTTCATTTAAGCTTACGTTCCGAATTTATTATTTACCTGATAAAAACCCGTTGAATCCGCTTTCTCGAATCTAGAGACAGGAATTTCGGACGCCCATGGATAAAGAAGCATTTTCGAGAGGCGACTGCAAGTTGTAAGGACTGTAAGCGACGAAATACCAAACAACTGAGACTTTCTCGATTCCGCTCTTGTGGCGACGTGTCAATATGACACGAACCAAGTAGATTTGAACACAACAACTTCAGAATAAGGAAAAGAGACTCACCGTTATTAATGAAGAGCTCCAAAAGAGTGCCAGAACGCGCGCCACCATCTTGACGTTGGCAGAAAGAATTTGCTTAGCTCGGCAGAGATTGATCGACCCCACGTGAACGTGCAAGGGTTTTCACCTTTTGTAAGTATGACGTCATAGTTTAGTTCGATTTACGCTTCGATTCCCACGCGTGACCGGAAAGTGAATTCATCCACGGGTTACGGCTGTTTAAAAGCTTTAGGATGAAACAGTAAACCTTGAGGCATGATTTGGACGTAGTCTAAGTGAAGGCACATAAATGAATAAGTGAGGGTAAGGGAATAATCTCAGAATAAATTAATTTACAGCAGGCCCTGACACAGGACACCCAAGGTTACCATGTGAGTGTTACGTACTCAGAACTCAGGTATGGGGGAATAAACATTTTCTTGAGTTGACAGAGAGAAGAACGATTACATAATAAAAATTACTGACTTCTTGTCTTTATGTTGTGCTTATTGCCTTATCTATTTTCTTTGGGCTGTAGTAATTTGGCTGGCTGCTGCGATATACGGGGGATATACAAGGGGACGAGTCCAGCACAAGTCCCTTGAAGGGTTCAGATATGAAGGAACTGGTCTTAGCCGACTTGCCCCACGGATATTTTACACCACGGATTTTGAGTAACAAGTCGCAGGGACTTGTCCCTTCAAAGTTCAAACCAGTTTAAATGCGTGGGACGGTCTTAAGAACCAAATTTTGGTCGACTTCGACTACATTAAAAAAATGGCTAGCAAGGGACTTGTCCCCGCGATCGACTTGTTGCAGGGACTAGTCGCGTGTGCTGACTTCAACGGAAAACCTAAGAAATAGAGAAATGCTTCTATTTTTTTTTTTCTTTTTCTATTTCTCTTTACAAGATTTATATATTCAGACTGATCTGGGCCGGAAACACCCAAAGAAAAAAGAATTAAAATCATTTGTAAAAAATACTGTAATAGATACATGTTTTTCTTTTTAATCGGCCTTACATTTTTTCCGTAGGATAAGAATAAATATTGGGAGGGCTGTGATGTTATTCTATTCCTCAAGTGTTGATTTTTCATCACGAGAATACCTTAATCTCATCTTGTTTTACATCGAAAACTGACACTAGATCAGCTAGATATGTTAAAAAAGGAAACCCTCTTGATTTCAATCGATAATGTTTTCCTCGTCAAGCTGGTCGTCTTTTGCGAGACATCACTCTTAAGAGGGGCGAAACCCCATAAGAAGATTCTGAAGGGAGTGGCTGTGTGAGGAGAAAATGCTTGACCTTAAGGACCAAAGACCTTGTGTCTACGTTAAATGGAAAATAATCCCAGAAAAATAACTCCGAGAATTTTTGTCTGTAGCTCCGGGTGATATTTAATGTTGTACTAATTTTAACATCAAAGCATCAGCGTCGCTTTCATGCACGTATAAAAACATACATACCAGTAATAAATACCGTGTGTAAGTGAAGTCGGAGGTAAATTGGCAATGCCAATTCCATTTTATAACGGTAGCTGTGAGTGACTTGGTAGAGACCAGGAGAAAATGAGGGGATGGGTCCTTTGTAAGTTCCAGGAAAAGTTTACAAGAAGGGACTGGTTTTAGGGACTTGTCGTAAGAACAGTTCATATGAAGGGTTTTGAGTAACAAGTCGCGGGAGCTTATCCCAGTTTGAATTCGTGGAACGAATCGCAGGGACCAAATTATTTACACTATTCCTGCACGCAATGAATGAGACACGTTTCGGGTGGGATCGGTGGGTTACAAATACCAGGAGAAAAGGACGCAAGGGGAACGAAAACAACCGATGCTCGAAGTCAAGAAATCAGAAATAATTAACCACTTTCATTAAATCGATATCAAACTCACCAAATTTTGGTCCCTGCGGGTAGATTTTTTTGAAAAAAAATGACTAGCTCACGCGAAGGGATTCATTGGCGCGATTTTGTTGCAGGCAGGGGTGGGTTTAGTGGGAGGGTGCAGGGGATGCGCACCCTTCCCCCTCCCCTGAGATGAAGCCTTCTTCTTAGTCTGAATTTCAGCCGTCTCTTCCCTTTTCCCTCGGGGTAAAGGGAAGAGACGGCTGAAATTCAGACCACCTTCTTCTTCGTTTTCGCCTTTAAAATTTGTTTACCTCACAAGTCAGTTACGCCATTCCTTAGTGGGGCACCCCCTCTAAGAAAAATGCCCCTGGCAGGGACTTTTCCCCTCTCGTGTGCCGACCTTACGGAAAACCAAGGAAACGGATCGAGAAATGTTTCTAATTTTCCTTTTTTTTAACTTATCTTTACTAGATTCATATATCCAGTCTAATCCTCTAAGAATTTGCTCCCGCTTTGGGAGGGGAAGAGACGTCCAAAGACACAAAATTGAAAATTAGATAAAATTCTGTAATAGGTACATGTTTCGTTTCAATGCTTCAAACTTTGTCGTAAGAGGATAAGAATGAATACTGGGGGGACTGTGACGTCACCAGTCAAGGGTGTCGTACTCATCACTCACTTTCCTACAAGTGTTGATTTTATGTCGAAAACTGGCGCTATATATAATTGCAAATGAAACCCTCTTGCTCTGCATTTACAATTGTTTTTCCTCGACGAGCTCGTGTTCTTCTCGATTGTTAATAATGTTACGAGACATAACTCTAAGAGGGGCAAAACCTCGTGGGAAAACTCTTATCGGGGAGTGGCTTGATGATAAGAAGACAAGTATCTACGTGACGCGGTGTCCTGGCTGAGGATAAAATACTTGACCCTAACGACCAACGTCGATCGTCGTCGTGTATAAGTTACTTAAAAAGAAATATAATCCCGGGTTTTTTTGTAACATAACTCCAAGGAAATGGGTGTGCAGCTCATGGTGGCACTTTCGATTCATCAGATCAGTGTCGCTTTCATGCAAGCATAAATTTGTAAATATACAAGTAATAAATGCCGTCATGGTGTAAGTTAAGTCGTAGCGAAAATGGCAATGTCAGTTCCATTTTATAATAGTAGCTGTGAGTGACTTAGTAGAGAAATAATCCTTCAGTCCCTGTTGAACTTGTTTATATTTTGGACAAGTGTAGAGCCAGTTTGCGAATACAACTCCCGAAACGTTTTTTGCTTGTCAAGTCACCCTGTTACGACCATTGAAATCCGCCTGCGGTTAATCGCAATTTATTTTTGCTCCGACATTTAGATTCTTTGCAAGGTTCCAGACTCTTGCGACAAAACGAAACTGACTGATAACGACATAAATCACCAATGTCGGTTATGTGAACATCGATACAAAGACATACCAAACTATCAGGGGGGGGGTATTCCTTATGTTTTTGCGTTCATGCTGTTATGTTGCTATTGTGTCATTATGTCAGGACGTTCACACTGCCAAGACAACGACATTACGTCCCTCTTATGTCGTTATGTTTACGTCGTTGTGTAGCAATGTCGCTTGGGTGAACTAGGCCTAAATTTTGTGAGTACGTTAATTTCAGATGACCGCATTTTCTACTCAATTGCATGCAAGGAAATAAATCCATTACCTTATAATTAGTGCAAAGTCCGAGCATTTCCGCGATGGTATAGCGGTGAGTTTAAACGATAATGCATAGATAAACATAACCCCAGCCATTTGACTCGTTGATGTGTCCAGGAGGAAGAAATCTGACATCAGAGTTGGGGGGGGGGATAATTTTACACCAACTGGGAGGAGTGATGGGGGACACCTTGGACCTAGCGCGACAAAAAAATTGAAGTGGAAATTGCGACCAAAATTGCATTAAAATTTGCTTGTGCAAATGGACCTTAAGGAGTTTATGTGTCCCAAAGGAAGAAGACTCTTAAATTTATTTAGGCATGGTAAATTCGACAGGATTACAATATTACAGCTAATAATTATTTATTAAATTAATTTAAAAAGGCTGTGGTTATGAAGAAAACTATTTCATCATCAATAAACTATAACAATAAGATAAAACAAATATTGTGTAAACTGTTACAATTTTAATGAATAACAAAAAATTTGTCAGTTTAGTAGGCGCGATCAAGTGTTAGATGAACTTAACCATGTGACAATCCTATGCGTCCAAAGACGTATTATGTCTGTGACGCTGATTAGTGATTCGACACTGAGCTCGTTCCCAGAGCTTTCCCTCAGAGATCTCTAAGGAAGAACCCCTGGGAGCGAGGTTTGTGATACAAGACAAAAACAGACGAACTTATCTGAACTGTGAATTCGCTCGAGTAAAGTTCTCAATCAAGCGATCAACAATCTTTCTCACTATATTCCAGAGACAATGGGCACTGCTTCTTGTATAAATGGACACTACAAGCCCTTTATGCCATTTATGTCGTAAATTGTTATGTCTATGATTTTTTTCCGTATGGAAATATAGAATCTTTACTACAAAATATAGGTAAAATGCCGATAAGAAGCCCCTTTCACCGCTTAAAAACCCACAAATTTCAAAGACAGAAATGACCAACGAACAATAATCCCCATCAGAGAGAAAATGGTCCCAAAATCTTGTGTCCTTCTGATATGCCCTTCAGAATATAGGGCTATGGACTTACCAGATATACTTTCTTCCAGTGAAAATCTTCCCTATCGTAGAACCTGTCTGTCTGCGTCCCACGACCAAACTCAGGTCTACCTATATTGAAACTATTCAGTCTATTTTTGCGCGTTAAACGAGATTAGAATAACTCTACTAGCTAGGCTACTAGCTAGCGTTCTATCCCGAATGCCCTTCTATTACTGGCTACGCTACTTACCATCTATTCTGTTTTAGTAGCATTCTACTAGTATACTAATGCAAATGCTGCAATCTGATTGGCTGAGCTACTCGTATACTATCAGCCATTAGAGTGCAGTGGCTGTCGACTGTCCACAAAATGCGAAGTCTTTATCGTTTTTCCGAAGTTTTGGAAGAAAGGTTAGATGTAAACGGATAATTAAATTCCTGGGAAGACTAAAAGAATGACATTAATGGTTTCTTGACTTTAAAAACTTGAAATTATTGAAAAAAACGGGTGCGCGCGCGTAAACAACAACAAATGTATCAAGGACATTCAATTTAATGCGTGCGATTTCCGTTTGTTAAGGAGGCTCTCTATAGTTTTACGATCGCGCGAGCGCTGAGGAAGTAATCTGCCCGCGCTCAAAGGAAAACGTCAGTGTTTTTCGATGTTTTATTACGTCAACATGAGCACAAAAAGCAAGACTGACAGTGAATTTTCTCGCGTTTCCTTCAGTGAAATTCCGTAAAATTTGGCAGATTGGTAGAAAATATTTTACTTTAGTCGGAGCTCGTTTCTCAGGGAAATCTATAAGACCAGATYTTTTGCAGCGGTAAAAGACATAAATTTGAAAATATCGAAAAAACTGCCTTTACAAACCCTACTTTTTTCGTGTTTAAAATTCGTATCCCGCTGGAAGCGATGTGATGTAAAAATTTTGGAAGATTTCACCGAGGGAAATTCATGAAAATCACAAATAAAGCCATAAAAACAGTAAAAAACACTTTTGTTTGGGCATTTATTATTTAAGACTAAATACCGAAATTTTAACAGAGATGATAACAAAACACTATTTAATCATTGCTTATTACATGTAATAAGTTTGAGAGAACTAGGTGTGAAAGCGAATGCAAAAACAGCATTCAAAACATAGCACTTGAGCGCGCAACGCCATAAATGATTACCCTATGGAGCCACCTTAATGCGTAAAGTTCAATAATGCGTAGAAAGATAATTAGAAACCGTTATTTGCGTTTATTTCAGTAAGAATTCTACTAAAACGATTAGATTATTCGCTCTCGATTTCTATGAGGTGATAGTTCATTCAGCCTTCGGCCTCATCAACTATCACCTCATAGAAATCTCGAGCTCATAATCTAATTCTTAATTAGTACAAATCTACAAGCGTTCTATCACGAATGCCGTTCTTTGATTGGCCACGCTACTCACTATCTATTCTGTTGTAGATAATGAGTAGCGTAGCACCGTGCGCAAGGGGCCTCTCTGTGCCTCTCTTTGTGTTTTCGAAGTGTCTTTGAAGAGGATTTAGATTAAATTTTTGAACGACTAGTAGATTTATACTAAAACAATTAGATTATTCGCTCTCAATTTCTATGCGTGATAGAAATCGAGAGCGAATAATTTAATTGTTTAGTAGATAGTGAGTAGCTTAGCAGTGTGATGGTGTGTGGTTGTTAACAAAATGGCGGCCGCTTCTCTCCTTTCTTGAAGTGTCTGTGGAGAGCTGATTTAGATAAATATCAGTTGAACAACTAGTAGATTTATGCTGAAACAATTAGATTACTCACTCTCGATTTATATACGTAAGAGTTGACTAAGGGCTGCGTCCCCGTCAATTGTTACCCGATAGAAAATTCAAGCTAGTACTTTAATTGCTAAGTTAGAGACCATGACCAGTCTATAATGAAGGAGCCAATCAACACCATCTGCAGCTGTAGCGGCAGTATTTTCTCATGACAGATTTACTTGTTGATTCTCTGCAGTATCCTAGCCTAGCCAATCTATGACAATGCACCGAGCTGTCCAGACACCTTTTACCTGCAAGGAAATAGAAGTGACCTTAATTATATAACAAAAGGGCCATGACCGCAGGATAAAAGTAAGGTCCGACGCAGCGAATTTAAAAGGTCGCCAATTGTGCTTCAGTAGGCAACTATCCCAAGTTGTGTACAGCCACTTCACTGTTGGAGAGGTACCCGTTTAATTAAGGAACTGTCCTACACTGTACGAGGTGTGATTACTATCATAGAAGTAGCCGGTTGACTGAGGTGCCCAGTTAAAGGAGATGTACCCTTAAGGGGACTGCTTAACGGACAACTTTTGAGGTGTCCACTTATGCAGGAGGTGTCTGTCTCCCTTGAGCCCGGAAAATCGAAAGGAAAAGCAAGTTTTGGAATAATAACCTGCGTCTGGTTCAATATAAATCGTGAACATGCGTGTGCTTGCGCTCCTTCTGCTATAAAGAACATCTTAATGTGCAGTTGTACCCACCGTCTACATATCCACCGGCCATACAAGACTTTCTACAGTTCTGCAACATGAACGCTTGGTGAAGGTAACAGTCGCCATTTCGTACCCATTTTCGACACTGTTGCGGCATTCTATCACGAACTGTTGTGGTAACTGCAGAGAGGGTTTTATTAATCACAACCAATCACTGGACAAAGCACTATAAGTGGTACAAAATTTGACCATGAGTATCGAACAATATGCACTACTAATAAAAATTAAATAAAGGTTATTTGTATTCCTCAGTCGTATCCAAAATCGCAATTAGCCAATCAAAAGCCATTTCTACCGTCTGATATCTTGCGATATTAGGCCATTGACGTGATAAATGCAGCCTGGCCGATTTACATATATGGAAGGATTTGGGTAAGGTAAACTCTAGTCGTACTTTCCTGTCCAGCTGTTGAGATTTGAGACCATTAGGCCTCGAGTATTTTCTCATAATAAACAAACTGAACCTCCAAAGGGGCTTTATTCAGCAACCGATGATATCAAAATAGGAATTCTTCTTGTTGACCTGCTGATGTACATTTATTTCTTTGAAGAGTATAGTTGGGAGAAATTGTGGTTCAAACGCCAACAATTGTAATTTGCCTTAATGATTAGTTCTAGATTCTTATGACCTGTACGTGTTTTCATGATTTTTGACCACCCTTATGTGGAGCTCAAGGAATCGAATGAATCCGTTGGAAAGGTACTTACGTGTTGAGTCGCTTACCCGATTCCTTAGCGCACTGTTTGCAAGTCCAGCGACAGAAAGCAAACATGAAAATTGGCTTTTCTTCGCAGTGGCCTCTCTTGGCCCAGTCCTTGCAGGACGAGCTATGATCTTCGCATCCCTTGTGTATCACTAGAGACAAAGAAATCATTGCGATGTTGGTTATGGCTATGTAATCAGTGGCGGACACAAATCTTGAAAGTTTAGACGAGTTAAGGTGGCTGGCAACAGTTTCCAGCACTTCCAGAAGTTATACTTAGCTTGATAGGCCGATACTAATTCTCTTTATATCAGGTGATGATACAATATTGGGCGCCATGCAAATGCCCATTCATTGGTGAACAATTGCAAGTTGTGATTATCTTAATGGCATTTAAGGCTACCCCGCAAACAGTATAAAGTGTTCAAAACACCCTTAATTTGATCTTTTAAGCGTTTAGAACTCAAAATGGTTCTGTTACCCATACATTTTATGGCAAAATTGTCTTGAGCTTGATAAAAAACAACTTTCTGAAAAGTTTAACAAACATTTTATTTAGGGTTCAGACCCACCTTAAATTTCTGCAAGTATAAGGTGGCTCTCAATCCTTGTTGCCTGCCACCATAACAGAAAACTAACACCTGAGTTATAAGCCTTGACCCCGAGAAAAAGTGACATAATTTAATAACACTTGAGGATTAGTTAAGATAATTTTTATTGGCTCAACTCCGTGTATTCTGCTTTGTTTTCTTTATTTTTGAAGATTTTTCTCGCAGGTGCACGAGTGTATGGTAACGTCTATCATATTATTTTATTCACCTTTAGTCGCTCCGTTCTTAACTGGTCAAGCCGATGGTACGTACTCGCTTAACCGTGTATGATAAAATGACGTCACAGACGAAAAATACGAATGCTATTTACCCATTTGCTCCGGTGCACACATATGACAACTCCAAGGACACCATGAATTCATCTTGTCTGGTTTGTATTGACACATGCCTTGCTTTGCCCACGCTCTACATTCACGACGTGTATTGTCACATTCTCCCCAGTGGAAATATTTCCTGTTAACCTCCGTTATATTATCATACACTGCAGACAAATAGAACATCAAGTCAACTTGGGTACCATTTACCAAGCCAAACCAAAGTAAGGGCTATTTTTCCATTTAATTTTAACAAACTATACCCAACAAGCCTAACCAAGATTGTAGAAATTACGTTCGCAATATATCAGGGCCGGGACTTTCCAAGAGACGATTGTACAAGGAATATGTCAGAAGAAAAGTCAACAACGCGCCAG